ACTGAACGTTTCAACCAAAGCCTTTATCAATAGGCAAGACGACATAACCTTTAAACACTCATGGTCAATATGGAACCAGAAATATAGTTGTTTATATTTTTGCCCAAATTTCCATTCCCTTTGCTGAATTTTTTTGTCTCAGTTGTGTTTTTTTAAATTACTTCTTGATATCAGTTTGACTGCAATCACTCTTATTTATATCATTACTTTAAATCTGTCTGATCAATTGGAATTTGTAGCTATAATTTTCTACAACCCTATTCTGGAAGTTCGCTATGCAGATGACACAGTCCTCCTTTCAAACTGTATAAAGGGAATAAAATATTCAATCATGACTGTCCAAAAACATAGTAAAGATTTAAACCTGTTCTTATATTTAGAGGGGAAAAAAAATAATGTCTATAGAAAAAAACTGCTTGTTACCACTCCCCCTCCCCCACATACATACACAAATGAAACTGAAATATCTAATCTCTATAATATACAGCAGTGACCATCCAACAGAAGTTGAAAAAAAAAAGGGTGGTTTTAGCAAAACAATGATTAAACACCATTAAAAGTCTATGGTTATGCACCAGCAAAGAAATCAGTAACAATTTTGACAGCATGCATCTTTCCAGTAGCAATATACGGAAGTGAGTCGTGGACTATCTTGCAATCTTTAAGGAATACAATAGAGGCCTTTGAGCTGAAATGCTATAGAAAGATTTTCAGAATACTATGTACAGAAAGAAAACAGATACTGCCATCCTAAAAGATCTGAAAATCATGAAAGATTGGCTGATAAACAACATCTTGTCTCAGAAGCTAAAATATTTTGGCCAAGTGCCATGGCAAATTATTAAGAAATAATAACAGAAAGCATGTGCCGGGAAGCAGGGGCCGGAGCTGACTAGCAAGAAGATGGGCATAGGGAATAAGTGACTACTTGGGTAAGAAACTCCATGAGGTGGTAGAGCTGGCGAGAAACGAGGTAGACCACGATGAGAACAACATTCTGCAAAGGGCCTGCTACAAGATGAGTTTTCCAAAAGAGCAGGTAGTCTGTCATCTGCCAACCTTTTTATTAATTTTCTATAAAAATTTAATGGTACTATTTCCCTGAAGCACACAGGCAAAATTATGAGCTAATGCATGCAAAATGAATCAAAGCATTTTAACTTTTTTGTTCACAGAAACTTTCTCAACAGAATCAGCCAAAACTATAAAAAATACCAGTATTGGAAACAAAAATAACATTGCTTCATTAAATAAACAATTAACATGCAAATAAAAACAAATAAAAACAGATAAATGAACAATAATCAATAAACCTGCAAGCTTGATTGATTACTGAAAATGTTTTATTGGGTACTTGGGTTGCAATTCCCAGATTTACAACAGTTTAAAAATATGCTTGAACATTATGATTCATTTACTTGACATTAAAGTAAACTAGGAACCCATGGTAGCACCATAACTTGCATGCACGCCTGTTGGCACTGTGGTCATAGCTTCACATTTCCATGTAGCTGAATTTGTTAAAAACTAACTTGTCTAACAGGTCACCCAGAATAAAATGGATATTGAGAAATGTCATGAGTAGTAAAGGTGGCCAGTAAAAAGTGACCACATCACTCACCACATGCTGATGGATTCATAAAACTATTGGATTAGCAACACATGCCTTCTAAGCCTGAAAATCAGAATCAAAGAAACTGATCTATTTTCATGTAAAAATTGTAAAATGAATCTGACGTGCCATTTTAAAGTATTTGGGGACATTCATAAAACAGATGGGGGATGTGTAACAGAAATTGAGAGCAGAATTGGCCAGGCAAAGACAGCATTTCAGAAGATGAAAAGTGTTTTATGTAATAAATCACTCTCATTAAATATCAGAAAACGAGTAATGAAATGTTACATCGAACCTGTTCTGTTTTATGGTAGTGAATTTTGGAATGTGAGCAAACAAATTAAGAAGAGTTTGAAGGCAACTGAGATGTGGTTCTGAGAAGAATGCAGTGAATCCCTTAGACTGCCAGAATAACTAACAATGATTGCCTGGAAATGGCCAATGAAAGTATATTATATACAACAATCAGAAGGAGATAAACAAAGTTCTTTGGTCATGTGATGAGAAAAGGAGCAATGGAAAATATACTGACGACTGGAAAAATCACTGGTAGGAGAGGCAGAGGCAGACCAAGATAAATGATGGTGGATGGTTTAAGACAGTGGTATGGAGGAATATCATCAGTGGAATTGATCCAGAATACCAAAGACTGAGATCTGTGGAGATGCATGAAAGCCTATGCCAGCTGGAAAGACATTTGGTTCCATATTTAAAAAAATTAATGGACCTTAGATGAATGACGTGGTCAACTTCTTTACTACTTTTCAAAACAATTCCTGGTAAAATGACAATTTTCATGTCTGGAGTTCTGCAGTACTTGGGTATATAGTGTAAAGCCCATATTTATTTTAGATCAAATGGCACTTAAATGGTGATGTTGTTGATATGAAATGACTACCAATACTTTGCAAAACATTTCAAGCTGGATCAATCTGGAAGTCCCAGTTTGTTAAGGATTTAAAAACAGGACACCCAGGCTGTGGTGGAAGTGTGTTATCAATTGTGCTACCATGGTTTCATATTTTCTGGCACCAGTTAAAATTTATCTTATGGCATTTGTGCAAATTCATTGATGGAACTATTCTTTATCCTAATAAATAACTGTTTGACATTAGATGTTATTTTTTTTGTTAAATAATAAATTCAAGCATAGATGGATGTTTTGACCAGCAGTGGACTTCAGTCTTTATACAGTTACATTATTTTATGTTATTTGAATGTAGTTGCATCAATATCCATGCTGTACTCTGAATAAGGTTTTCTAGCTGCAACATTCATTTTGACATTTGAGTGTGACTGAGTTTTATAGGTAAGTTGAAAACTTTGCTATGCCATAATCATACACAGATTGTGATTTGTCCTGTCACATCTATACACACATAAACATGCAGAGCAGGTGGTCAAAGCTACACATATGAGTTTTCAGTAATTCCTATGTAGATATACAGTGCTTTTGTGTGTGGGTTCTGGGGCCTCATAGGGGGAAAAACAAGAATAGTCCCACTGACTGCCCAAAAGCATGTCCTAAGAGTTGACTGATTGGGAGCTTCCTTCGAAGTTGGAGTGCATCTGCCTGAGAGATGAGGAACCAACAGTCTGCATACACATGAATCAGATTTGCAAAATGGATGTACATGCATCACTCAGGTTCTGGAACAGGACTATAGTCCAGAAGTTAATGAACACCCAGAACTTTCCGCTGGAGTTTACAGCTGGTAAACAAGAAGATGAAGATACAGTGCCATGTAGAAGTTTTAACAATCTCTTGATTACAGCTAAACATACTTAAAAAACTGGCCATCTTGTGTAAAGTTTGCTAGCACAGCAGAGGAAAACAATTAGAGGAACAGCAGCAGCAGGAGCAGCAACAGCAGCCATGAGCGACAATCTGCAAAAACAGTGAAATAAAAATTCTAGCCTCTACATTGTACGAGAACTGTCCGGCAAATAATCCTCAGCTCAGAAAATCAGAATATATTTTTTCAAGTGAAAAGGTCCAAAATGTACCCTATGTTTTTGGCCATAGGCAATAAATTCCAATTAATTACAGCAGCTGCTATGCTTGAACTTTGGCCTGAAGGTCCTAGGTTTAAATCTGCACTGGGTGGATTTAAAAAATAACAACAATTTACCTTGGCTCTTAGTTTGAGTCTAAAACGAGGCAATGTCCTAAAAAAGTGGGTAACATCACCTATTAACAGCCAGAAAGTCTATCAAAATATGAGTCAAGCAGCATATTCTCAGTGTGCCACTGGTGTGAAAAGGATCCTTACTTTTTATTTTATGAGCAATTACTTATTCATGTTGCACGTGTAAAAACAAATACCTGCAAATTTACACCTTTATCTTTACAATTCTGATCTGGGATAGTTAGTGTTGGCACATCTGACAGTGCCTTATTAGCTGCTTTTACAAGCTTTAGGACTTTTTTATGCAAGCTTTAGGACTTTGCTGGGACTGACAAGTTTTGCGTTAGTTTTCAAACAGGTCACAGAAGGATATTTTGTGTGGTTTCCACCGGCACAGAAACAGAGCAGTTATGGAACGATCCCTCGGCAGTGATGTTGGAACATGGACTACAACCTTTACCTCAACTCTTTCAGTCCCATATAATGTGTAGTATTTGATGAGAAACTCCTGGTGAGTCTCAATGATCAAACAGTGTGTTCTTTTACATTTTAATTTTGGTCAGAGAATATAAGGAAATCTGGCTATCTAAGTGGCCTCATCTCTGTATTTAGATTTGGGTCAGCTTGCATAATTTTTTTGCCTTTGGACATTGGCAGCAACATCTTCTGGTACCTAAAGAGTTAAAAAGTGATAAGTTTCCTTTTCACACTTTGAACATGCTGGGTACTTAGTTCTAGCCATGCATTTTCAAAGGGAAATCACTGTTCAGAAAGAGTTGTGGTCAATATTACAGTAGCCACTTGTACTTTCCAGAAAGTTTCCTGATACATAATTTAGTCTATGCCAGTGAAGCTTCAAGAACCACTGAAGATATGGAACGAAAGTTAAATGCATTTGTTTATGAATGCCTTAGGAAAATTATAAAGAATTCAAGAGGAATGAAGAAATAAGAGAAATGTCTGGGAAAACCACTAGTATCAACAGTTATAAGACAGAGAAGATGACACTAAACTGGATGTATTCTGAGAAGAGACAAACAAGAATTACCATAACAGTCGCTGAAATTGAAAATATAGGGATTGAGGCACTGAGGATGGCCAAGAAAAATCCTCAGGGGAATGTTGATGAGAGAAGCCAAAGGTACTGGACTTGATTCCATCCATGATATTAAAGACTGCACAGGAGAGAACAGAAATAGACTGCAGCCCTGTGTGACATAGAAGGGTACAACAGGACAATGTATGGACAAATGAATTTAGTCTAGGCTGATCTGGGAACCCAGGACAATTTTATAACAAATCCCATCCCATACAGGAGTCAAACAAATGAGCACAGCGCCTGAAGGCAAGCATGCTAGTGTGCCATCCAGAAATGCACCTTGGTTGGTTCCCACAGAATGCAAGTTAACAGTAGACTCATAATTAAAGTGAATTACATTTCTTGATTTTTGCAAGATAACTAAAAAAAATCTTAGCATTACTGATATGGTAGGTCAAGGGCTTTTTTTTTCCTGATGGTGCACAATGGTGCACAGTACTGGCATCTTTTTTTACACATAACTATTTTTTTTTTTCAAAGCACTACCTCAGTTGACACTTCATGGTGAGTACTGGAACCTTTTTCAGATACCTTTGGGTGAGTACAGGCAAAAATTTTTATAGAAGAAAAAACCTGGCTATGGAGGTTTTAACAATTTCCCTCCAGGATTGTAGGCTGCAGGATTAACATCTCAAGCATGAGGATGAAACAGGTACAATTTCCTGAAACCCTGTTCAACTGTATATTATAATTGTATTAGGGTAGTCAATGGTTATGTAGTAAACTGATGTCCAGTCCATCACTGATGTTAATCTCTCAATATTGTTTGCGGGGGATGGGGGTGGGGGGGGGGGGGGGGGGGACTGATGTTAATCTCTCGACATGGTTTGCAGAGGGGAACAATCTTATGTCACTGATGTTAATCTCTCAGTTTGGTTTGCAGAATTACTGGCAGCTCAGATTTATATCACTGAGAAAAAGCTCATTCATTCTGTTTACATGATTGCAAAGACAAATCATAGAATCACGGGTATAAATGACAACAATTTGGCTTTGATGATTAAGCTTAGGAATATGAAGATCACTAGAAAATAATTCCATTAATCTGGTTCGCAAGATTAATTCTAAAAAAATTATGAAGATTACAGTTATAAATGACCAATAATAGGTGTTGCAGAAACAAATATTTTAATATAAAGATCAGTTATAAATATACAATAATTTGGCCTGTTGGATTATTTTTGAAAAACGATGATGGCTGGCCACACAAAAAAAATGTTAATTTGTCTTTTAGGAGTTATTTAAAAAGAAAAAGGATGATTGGCATAAACACAAATAATCTGGCGTTTGTGATTACTTTGAAAAAAAAAAGCAGAGCATAACTGGTAAAAATGTGATTAATGTAGCATGCAGAATTACTGAATAAACCTCATTAATTCTTAACTGACATCGATTTAATAAATCATTAGGAAAGTTAGTAACATTAATTGGGCTTGCAGGTTTAAAACAACTTCATTAATTTTGTTCTGCAGGGTTACTTGGGCAAAGTTAGTTAATTTTATTGTGCAAGGATCCTGGCAACTCTAATTAAATCAGTTTGCAGGGTTACAAACAGCAAGATTTATTTGAAAAAAAAATTAATCTCAGTAATAAAGCTTGCAGGGTTATCACAATAAATGTGCACATGTACATAAAACATATGCCAATTAAAAAAAGACACACTGAAAAGCTTACTTAGAGAATCAATCTGAGGGAAGCAGCAAGAAATATTTCTTTGTCTGGAGCTCTGGTACCTTTTATACCTTATTCGGTCTACAAACAATAGTGCACATGAACTTATTAACTAACAAAGTAAAATAAACACACTGTTTCATACTGGACATCTTCATACTTCAAACTAGACGTATATTTATATGCTGAGCTAAACTTTTTCAAATTGTCAGCTTATTATTTATTATTATAATTAAATACTCAGTACAGATTGTTGACTCTTTAATCCAGCCCAAATATAACTTTAACATGCAATATCCTAAACATTTCAAGAAACTTCACACAGGACATGTCCAAGTCCAAGCAAGTTAAATTAATAATACAATGGCTTTTACTGGTTGTACGCAATTGTTTTCAGTATAAGCAACTTTTTTTGTTTGTATGTTTGGACATCATTGTTTCTAGTGCTAGAGTAATAAACATGATGTAGTCAGCATCATCAATTTTTTTCCCAGTCAATTTTAATGCAGACACATTTTTGTTCTAAACGATAAACCTGAACAGCACTATAGGACAAAGTGAGTTATAGTGCAATTGAGATAGGATGGGTTAATTTAAGCTTTAATAGGAATAAGGAGTGCTGTTGTTGAACCTTAACTAACAACTTTTACCTGAACTCTTTCAGTCCAAAACAATGCATAGTGTGTGATGAGAACCTCCTAGTGAGTCTCAACAATCAAACAGTGTGTTCTCTCAGAATTTTAATTTTGGTCAGAGAATATAAGGAAAGATGGCTATGTGAGTGGCCCCATCCTTTGTGTTTAGTCCTAGCTTTCAGAATTTTTCCCCACTGGGCATTGGCTGCATAATCTTCTGGTACTGAAAGATGTTAAGATGTAGTGAGTACTCTGGTCATGCCTTGAATGCATTGAGCACACACATCATAAAAGATGGAGCTGCTTGGTACTGAAACAGCTAATTATACTGCTAAACAGTATAGACTAGAATGACTATATAGGGATCTCCATGGCAAAGAGGTCAAGTCGCTTGCCTCACACTCTGAATGTCATGGGTTCATTTCATGGCTGTGTCATTTAGTTCATAAGTGCACATTTTAAGGAGATCTTGGGGACCATCGCCACAGCTATAGAGTTCAACATCAACATCTGCGATGCTCTAGGCAAGGCGGCTAGCTTTTCTGTAGAGAGAGACCAAGCCATATGGGATAACCAGGTGTAATGAAATCAATCATCTCAATTTTAACCTTTAACCTTTAGAATGACTTTATGGACAGTCCCTACGATTTATATATAATTATTAATGAGTTATAAAATATATTCGACCTGGATAGTCTAACATATTCACACAAAAAACACTTGTGTTAAGCTCATAGTCACATGTAGCCAAATGCCTGTCTACTGGCCAAAAGCCTTGCAATCAAATCCACAATGAAACAAACTTGTGTTACAATTTTCTATTCAGTGTGACAAACTTATGTTCAATATGACAGATCTCCAATGCTAGTGATAAATATTTGGGTAGTGTTAATAATATCCAATTAGTTTATTCATCATTCACTTCTTGTGATCATTCTCTACTTGGTGTTAATAGTCTCCAGCTAGTTTACCAAATCAATGTCACAACTGATCAGCCTTCAAATCCTTCCATTATCAAATCTCTAATTCTTGTGACAATTCTTAGTAAGTGAGACTAGTTTACAATAGTCTCTAAATAGTCTACCAAATCTCTAATCCTTGTGATAATTCTTTAATTGGCATCACTGGTCTTCAATATGTTTACCAAATCACCAATCCTTGGGAAAAATTATGCAACTGGTATCAATAGTCTCCAGTTAGTTTACCATATCTCCAATCATTGTGATAATTCTTTAATTGGTATCACTAGCCTCCAGTAAGTGTACCAAATCTCCAATCATTGTGATAATTCTTTAATTGGTATCACTAGCCTCCAGTAAGTGTACCAAATCTCCAATCATTGTGATAATTCTTTAATTGGTATCACTAGTCTCCAATTAGTTTAACAAATCTTCTATTCCTGTGATAATTCTTTTATTGGTATCATTGCTCTCCAATCATTACCTATTCTCCAATCGTTCTGATTATTTAACCAGGAACGCAAGTCTTAAATGTGTTCAAGAAAATCCTCCAATTCTTGTACAACTGACCAGCTTTCAATTCATTGATCAAATCCCTATTTCTTGTAACAATTCTCTAATTAATGTTATAAGACTCCATAAAGTTTCACAAATCTCCCATTCTTGGGATGTGTTTATAATTTTAGTCTTAAAACTATAAATAATGTGACATCTCTTCAGTTATCACTTCACAGTATATCTAATTAATGTGACAACTTGGTAATCAGTGTGACAATTTTCTTATCAGTGTGATAAATTTATAATCAAGTCATGTTGAATATCTTGGATTAAAATCCCCATGACATGCACTAATCCTTCCTACCTTGAGTCAGGAAAAGGGTATTAATGTTAAATTTTTTGATCCAGAAAAGATTTGTAATATTATGATCGTTAATTTAAAAAAAGCTTATCAAATAAGATCTTTAACAAAGAACAGTGTTTAATTTTAAAACTTTTAATCAGGAAAAGTGTTTTAATCTATAGATTTTTAGTAAGGAAAATTATCCTAATAATGAGATCTTCATTTATAACATTCATAAAAATGAGCAGTTACTATAATGTGTCAACTTATGACACAGCCCATCATTTTAAAATGAATACCCCAAAACTCATTACTGTCAATATGAAACTATCCATAGCTAAACAAATGGCTGATATAATTTAGCACTGCAAAAGTATATAAAAAGCATTATACAAACCAGATGAACAGCTGAATGTATTTTCAATGCATGTTATTTTTTATGCCGCTTCATTTACTCTGTTTATCAGTCTAGATTGTTCATTTATTCTATTTGAGAATCTAGACTCATCACTTACTCTCATTATGAATCTAAACTATTCACTTACTCTGTTCAAGAATCTAAACTGTTCAATTAATCTCTTTATGAATCTAAACTGTTGGCTTCCCTTAAATGAATACAGGCTGCACATCAAAAAAGCTCAGAGATGAACATCAAGATTCCCTGTATGGGTTCCATGGCCCCACTGGAGTGGGTGGGTCTGGGGGATAGACCCACTAACACCAAAACAAACATACGTTTACAGTGACGGGTTAAGGGTTTGCTGAATGGATGTTTTGGCCCAGAAAAGTGCAGATATCACAATCTAGCTGTAAAGCACAATACAACATACCAAGCCTTCTTTTAAGATGAACAAAGAAGAAGAGGAAGAAGAAGAAGAAGAAGAGGAAGAAGAAGAAGAAGAAGAAAAAGAAGAAGATGAAGAAGAAGAAGAAGAAGAAGAAGAAGAAGAGGAAGAAGAAGAAGAAGAAGAGGAAGAAGAAGAAGAAGAAGAAAAAGAAGAAGATGAAGAAGAAGAAGAAGAAGAAGAAGAAGAAGAAGAAGAAGAAGAAGAAGAAGAAGAAGAAGAAGAAGAAGAAGAAGAAGAAGAAGAAGAAGAAGAAGAAAAAGATGAAGAGGATGAAGAAGAAGAAGAAGAAGAAGAAGAAGAAAAAGAAGAAGAAGAAGAAGAAGAAGAAAAAGAAGAAGAAGAAGAAAAAGAAGAAGAAGAAGAAGAAAGAAAGAAAGAAAGAAAGAAAGAAAGAAAGAAAGAAAGAAAGAAAGAAAGAAAGAAAGAAAGAAAGAAAGAAAGAAAGAAAGAAAGAAAGAACAAGAACAAGAAATTATTAATGAAGAAAGTAGAAGTAGACTAGGACTGAAATCAGTCATACAGTTTATTACAAGTACAAAACAATTGATGTAATATTTTCATAACTGACAAGAATGCTCTGGTAATACAGAACACAAAGAAAACCACATTTAAGAAATATGAGCAAAGAGAAACAGGAAAATATGCAAAAGACAGAGTGACGGAACAATTACATAGAGCATCTGAAAGTGTACACAGATGATCTATACATCTCTCTGCTTCTAGCTTTTCACATAGAAAATTGGAAGAAGAAGAAAAAAATTAACATTACAAAAAAATTTTTACGTTACAAACAGGCAGGGCCAGCTTTTTAAGCTAATGAATTACTGTATAGAGAAGAAAGGAACACTTATGGGATCTGGAGTGCAAAATAACCTAAAGTGACAATCTTAAAGTAAACAAGTAATATATATATATACACAAAACTGTCAGTAATATTTTGGCATCTTCATTTCATGTGTCCTAATACTCAAAAATACTACTGTTTTCTAAAATCAAAAAGAAACAATTCTATGACTCTGAATGTGCTCGCGACATTGAAGTGAATCTGACCAGTGGAAACACCATTGGCCCAGCACATAAAAGCCACACGATTGTTATAAAAACTTTTGTGTATATAGACATTAACCACATGTAGTGTCGACCTGAGGATCTGTTCCAGATTGTGATGTCCTTGAAAGGTGACACACTTCTGATCTCTCGATGGGCAGCGGTGTTTGGACTGGAACCACAGTAGAGGACCGAGTAGCTGGCCAGGGAATTTAATGGCATTAATGGTTGGCCTTTACAGCTCTTCTCAAAGCATTCTAAAGCCAGATCTGAAATGTATTCAAGACATTCAGGCAAGCTGATGTTGACAATTATATGTATGTAAACAAAATGACCCCTTTCCACACCTTCAGGCGTATTGGGCATATAGGGCTAGACCTATATTTTAAAGACCAATCGCCACTGGGTGTGTGATGTTGACAGCACCACGCTGGCCCCCTTTACATCCCAGGACTTTTACCTGGTATCCACTCTGGATAAGGCTGGGTCGACTTGGGAGTCAAGGTCATTCTGGAAAAAAATAAGTCAGGCTCCATTAGGACCCCAATCCATCACCTTCCGATCCATATGTGAGCATCTAGCCGCTACATCACTGTGGCTCCCATTTTATATATATATATATACATACAGGGTAAGTAAAGGAACATGAGCACATTGGGGGAAATAGTGTTAGACTTATATCAATATAGCCTACTGGCACTCAGGGCATGATGTAATCAATAACGTGATAGCTGCCTTTGCTTCTTAGGAAATTACCTTGGATCTTCTTCTTCTTCTTCCTGTTCCCTGGCTGTACATTGTGGGGAAAGGCCTGGCTGTTCATCCACTTATGGACTTAAGTCTTGTTCCATGATTTGAGTGTTCCCTGCATATCAGTTTTACGGATCTGCCTTGTTTGTATGCAGACTGTAGGTTCCTTGTCTCTCATGCAGAAACATTCTGACTGAAAAAAACGTCCATCATCTCTACGCTGGCCAGGCTCCCAAATTGGAACCTGTTTTTAGGCTGACAGTGGGGAGTTGTAGATAGTTTCTTTTACTAGTATGAATTCTGGTCCTAGTGCACCACTACATGTGTTTCAGCACATCTGAATCCTCACCTGGTCACACATTTAGCCTGGGTTGGCCTGAGTTGGCACAGGATACAAGGTAATGTTTTTTAAAATCTGCCCTAGACGAATACCTAGACCCAAGATTATTGGCCAGCAGGTAAGCGTCTAAACACTGCACTACCACAGTTATCATATATTTGATGATAATAACAATAATATCAGGTAATCATGTAATGGCACTTCCAACTCCCCACTAAACTGGTTATCACATAATGTTCCACTCATGTGCCAATTAAAAAAAAAAAAAACACACACACACACAGAATGCCTATTGCTGTCCCTTGTAAAGAAAAAAACTGAAACAGACTGTAGTCCCAGCAAAACTAATAGCAAACACATGCATTAAATGCATAAGGCAACCATAAGAAGTGCCGACACAAACAGCCTGCCACTGGAATTGTATTTCATCGTTGATGGATGCATAGTTACAACAGACAGACACTTGTGCGCACAATTTTGCATAAGGCATCACAATTTCTGTGGTAACAGGTAACTTGAAATTTTCTGAATTTGCAGTTTACAATGCACATCACACTAGGTTCAGTTGAAAATCATTTCAAATAAAATCTGCAGCTCACAGTGTCATGCCATACATTCATCTCAGTAGCTAGGTGATGGAACTATAGATTTTCTGGTCACATACATGTATGGGGGAAACACAACAGTCAACTATAGCTAGAAGCAACAACAACAAAACTTGTCGTGCTTATAACTGTCGACCTGTCTATCTGCCATAGTGACCAGACATCTGTCTTATAATCACAATAATTATAATTATAATACATGAAACAACAATAAGAATGGCAATATTCTTCCATTCAGATGCCAAGAAGTGTTCGGGTCAGAATAAATTTAAAAAAATCCTGAGCCTTACAGCTGACTGATTTTAACCAAACAGTGTATGAAGGGGACAATTCCTGGGCCAGAATTCCATGGAGAAATGCCATCAGGAAGACAGTGGTGAATTGATGTATAGCAAGCTAGATGTTGTCAGAACCCTTTGGGAGCTAGTGAACAGTGCAGAGGCACAGATAGATCATTACAGCATTAGACTTCGTCAACAAACAGGGGTTCTTTTTTATTTTTCTACCCCAGATGACATCACATGACAGTCCAACATTTTAGAGGGTGGTAAGACTGGGTTTGCCAGCTTTCTGATGCTTTTAATGACCCTAAAACATCTATAACTGGCCATAACCCCAACCTACCAACGTCCCGCGAGAGAGTGCAGCCTAGGTCCCAAGACTGCCTGCAGCCTAGGCCCCACTACTGCATGCAGCCTATATACCACCCCCTGAAATATTAGACTATCCTGTGACCTGTGGATTTCTCCTGTTTTGGGTAGGATTTTAATAAAGCACCCAAACAGGTTCTGCACATCAGGACAAAGTATCCTCCTGTTTCTTAATTCTCTTCCTCCCACTAGTTTTTGAACGAGATAGCCACAGGCTTTTATGAGAGCCGTATTGCAATGAATGTTTTACACTATCGAATACAACCTGGTTTCCCTCAAAAGCTTATGGATAGGACCAGAATTAAAGTTTATAAAGCTTGCGTCCTGAGCATGCTCCTTTACAGCAGTGAAATCTAGACTTTATTCCATGAAATATGCCAAAAAAGCAGAAATGGCAATAATATACTTTCTCCTGTAGTAAAGACACCTGCTTTGTTTGGAACATGTTTCTTGCCTGGAGGATGATCACATTCTAAAGGATCTCTTGTATGGTGAACTGGTAACAGTGAAAAGATCTGCAGAAAGGCCAATACTGCACAATAAAGTGGTGTGAAAACATGACCTGAAAGATATCAACATTGACACATACACTTGGGAGATATCAGCTGCAGACTGACTCCTTTGGGGGCAGACAGTGAAAGACAAATTGTGTCAGTTTGAAAGAAGTCAAACGCAGCAAGCTATAGAGAAAACCAGCCTCAGAATGATACAGCATCAATATTTCCATGTGACCTACGTGGCAGAGACTGCTGCTCCCACTCTGGACTTAACAGTCATAGCAGACGTTGTTTCCAGAGCCAGCGTCACAACTGTATGGTCCCCAGGGACTGACAGTTGCTTACTAATCCCGCAATGCTGACTCACTAGACCTGGTATCTCCCTAACATCTAGTATTGCCCTTAACCCATTTTCTTCTTTGATTTACTAATTTCCCCATGTGGCTTCCAGGGCCCCATTGAGGGGAATACAAGAACAAACCCCTCCCCCACCCCTCCCCCACCCCCCCCCCCCCCCCCCCCCCCCATCAAGCATGTCAAAAGAGTCGACTAACTGCCTGGGGGCGGGGGGTCCTTTGAAATCGGAGTGTATCTGCTTGTGAGTCAAGGAACCAAAAATCTGCATACAAATAAGTCAGACCTGTAAAATGGATGTGCACACAAAACTCAGGTTCTGGAACAAGTCTAAAGTCCAGAAGTGGACAAACAACCAGAACTTTCCACCGGAGTTTACAGTGGGTGAATGCCAAGAAAAAGAAAGACTAATTTCTGTTCTCTCTCCTTGATATGTTGAGTTCTCTTTTCAGGCATCTCATCTCAGTTGTAATGTTTTTGTTTCTATTTTTTTACCAATGTAGCATTGGTAGCATAGGGGTGGTAAAAAGAATGTATTAAACAATAAGGTGTTGAAAACTTGTTAGGGGCAGTATCTTCTTCTTCTTTACCTGCCTCTTTCGCACTGTTAAAATAGGGGTGGGGGTTGTTTACACATCGTTTTGTGGATTAAAACTTCGCTGCACTATATGTGCCTTTCAGTCAAAATCATCAAATTTCAGCTAATTAGTCATCTGTTAGGACATGCTTGTTACAGGGGAAACGGGCCTATTTTCCCCACTCCCCTCTTTACTCCAAAAAGAGCTCTGGAACCCACAAGTGGCATATATGATGAAAGATAATGATGACGGTGATGATGATGATAATGCTAATGAGGATCATAATGAAGATAATAATGTTGATGAAGATGACAAATCAAGTTTCATTTATCAGAATACATACAAATAGCTTCCTCTACAACAGAAGGAATTGCATCTTTCAGTGCCTGGCAGTTTGTGTGCAGAGCCGGGTTGGCATTGATCTCGATAAGCCAAACCTGAGGATGACATTATAAATGAATATTTTATAAATATGCTCATGAAAATTTCCCCATGGATACAGAGGAGCTGAACCACATTTTGGTGATGACTGGATTCAGGGTTCATACTGGTCAAGATCCATCTACAGCTCTTCACAGCCATCTTGGAAACAGGTTCCACATTTCCTTTGTAGTTTGCACAAAATAAGCCAGATATGTGAAACTGATGTGCACACAAGACAAGTTCTGGAACAAGAGCAAAGTCCAGAAGTGGACAAACAGCCAGTAGTTTCCACTGATTATTACAGCTGGTTAACATAAAGAAAAAGAAGAAGGAGGAGGAAAAGGAGAAATATTTTACCAGTAAACATTTAATGAGCAACTAGAAATACAAACAAGTCTCTGAAGATATGTAAAATTAAAGTAAAAGACCCTTTTCCATGCCTTTTGGTGTATTGGGCATATAGGGCTAGACCTATATTTTATAAATATACTGGCATTCATTGGGTGAAGTGGTCAGTATCATGCTGGCCACCTTTACTTCCCTGGACATTACCAGGTATCCACTCCAGGCAAAGTCCTTCTGGCAGCCAGTCCAAAGACATGGGTGTACTGAAAATATTCAAGTATACAGGTTCTGAAAAGACTTGGAATGAAAGAAGACATGTTGAAAGAAATTAAACAAAGAGACAACTGAAATATTTCATTCATGTTAAAAGACAGGACAAAAAAGTTGAAGGAAAGAAAGCAAGAAGTAGACAAAGATACAAGTGGGAGGATAACGTGAAGAAATAGACAAACAGCAGCCGAAGAGAGTGTACATCCAAGGTGAATTACAGAGCATGTTGGGGATCCATTGCAGCCAACCTTAATTGCTAAGCTGGCACTTGTTTTATGGATTCATTGATTGAAACATTTCATGAAATTACCATGTCATAAATAAGCATACTGTCTTTGTTTGTGTCTCCTTTACAATAGCGCCACGTTAGCGCAGTCGATAGGAAACTCACTTTCAAATCCAGCTGTGACTCGTGGCAGCCCACTGCCAGGTTTCAAAAACAGATGGTTACCGGGGTTCACCCAGCCTCTAGGAAATGGGTAGCAGAGTTGACACTCTGGGGTAAATGTAGGAACGTCGCTGTAGCTACGGAGCTTCGTGCAGACGGCAACACATGCCAACAGTTTCTTATCAGCTGTCCGTACTGGTGGCAGAGCCCTTATGGTTTATAACCATGGGCAATGATGCTTGTTCACATCTCCTGACTTTACCTTTACCTTTACTTTACCTTTTTACAATGAGGAAAAACCAGGTTTACGCACTATGCAGTTACAGCCAGTATCAAATCTTTCATACTGGTGTTTTGGCACTGTACAAAAGAAAACAAAAATTTGTCAAACAAAAACAGCTTTCTCAGGTTAAAAAAAAAAAAAATTTATTTACTGTTGGTTGTAATTTTTAGTTATCAAGTAGTATAGTCTGGTAGCTGTGGTAGCATAGTGGCTAGATCTCACCTGCCAGTCTGAATGTCTTCTTCCTCTTCACTTCCTCAGTTACTGCTTTGAGTGTCGAGGAAGATATAAGGTAATGCTTCTTGCTCTCCTGGCCGCCACGACCATGGACCATCATACTGTAGTAAAGTTTCTCTGATGTTTTCTTTTGATCTTGTTCTTAGTCTACTTTGTGCTTTACATCCTTCTCCTGTTTTGGTGTATGTTGTGTATGATATGGCGTCACAAGGCATTCTATGTTATGTGAGCAAGCCATTTGATTTGCTGTCTTTGTATGCAATCTAAAGTTGGTTCTGTGCTGAAGTTTTTCTCTTATGACTTCATTCTTGATTTTATTTCTTCTGTTCACTCCCACAGCCCTGGCCTGAAGGTAAAATATTCAAACAAGGCAGATTTAAATAAAAAATGATCTTAGCTCCAAGGTTGACCCAGTCTAAAATAGATACAAGGTAATATCTTGGAAAGTAAAGGTGGCGGGCAGGAAGTTGATCACATCATCCACCAAGTGCCGATTGATCTATATATATATATATATATATATATATATATAAAATTACAGGCTAGCCCTAAATGCCTGATGCAGCAAAACGGGTTAAATGGGTCCTTTTCTTCTGTAGTTTTATCTAAACATCATCAAGTGTCATGTCAGTAAGCCTATGCTATCATGTATCGCCATCTTAAAGGATCACCTGATCACAGATCAAATCTTGGCTTCACCTATCCATGAGTTCACATCATCTAGGTATTTCTCTCTCTGTATTCCTCTTGCTCTTTTACCACCAATTTTTTAGCACTTGTTACCTTGTGAAGTCAATTCCTTCCCTATTAAGTCCAAAAACTCTTTTGTCTGAGCATAGTTCAATAAAATCTGAGTTCAATTTTCAATTTCTGCTGGGGATAATATAGAGAATAACAAAGGGACGAACCTTCATATCGGAATCTACCATGAAATCCAGTCCATACAAATCAAAGTAGCCCATTCTACATTGCAGTTTGTGTTTGACACTGTTGAAGCAGTGCAGTGTAATTCGCTGCATTTGTTTCTGAAAAATACATTCAATATCATAATTATTTATCTTGTCAACTGGAGCAGATGAACATGTATGTCTGTGCCTATGTGTGTCATTATGTGTAGTGTGGTGTGTGTGTGTTTGTATATATATATATATATATATATATATATATATATATATATATATATATATATATATATATATATATATATATATATATATGTGTGTATGTATGTGTGTGTGTGTTGGAGAGAGAAAGAGAGAAAGAAAGTGTTAAGTCTATGGCAGTGTCAAAAATATATTTATGTCTCTGTGTTTATGTGTGTGTGTGTGTGTGTGTGTATGAGTATCTCTTTGTATGTCTTAAACTTTGCACACACACACATATCTATCTATCTATATATATATATATATATATATATATATATATATATATATATATATATATATATATATATATATATATATATATATATATATATATATATATATATATATATATATATATATATATATATATCTGTATCTATGTGTGTATTTGTTTCTGTGTGTGTGTTTGTGTGTGTGTAAGTATGTGTAAGTGTGTGTATGTGCATGTCTGCAGCTATACATATCCGTGCAAACATGTTTGTCTGTGCCTATGTGAGTATGTGTGTGCTTGCCTCTGTATCTGTGTGTATGAGTTTGTGTGTCTATGTGTGTTTGTGTGACTATGTGTGTTTGTGTGACTATGTGTGTCAGTTTGTGTATCTGTGTGTCTGTAGCTATGCATATCTCTCTGTGTGTGTGTGTCCCTGGTCTGTACTGTGTGTGTGTGTCTCTGATACCCCTCTGTGTGTGTGTATGAGTGTGCCTGTGTGTCTCAGTGTGTATCTTTGTGTGCACATCTTTCTGTGTATGTTATTTTATCACTAATGAAGTCAATAAACATTGGACATTCCCAGGCGTGCTCAGTCCTCCAATGCAGCAGCCATCCAAGGTACTTCTACTAACTGTTCCTATGAAAAGCTGCTTATAATGTCTCCTATCTCGACCTTGAAGGCGGCATAGACATGCTTTATTTCCATGCCACGTAATCCTGTTAGTGTCAGAGATTCATCATCATCCACTCGCCCAGTTCTCTCAGCCTTGATGATATCTGCTCTGTCCAAGCTTCTTGCAACATGTGTTAGTGCACTGTTTACCATTTGATCCGCTCGCTCACTACCCCTTATGCCAGCATGACCAGGTGTGTAGATCGAGGTGAGGGAGGTCAAGTGGGATTTTCAAATGGTTTTACTTATTCAGAGCGCATACTGCCTGTTGCTATCTTCTGAAGCACGTTGACTGTGTCTAATACACTTACTGCATGTATGGCTGTTTGCTGTGATGCTCATGCTAGTGCTCTAGAAGCAGTGGCTATCTCCATGGTCATGTTTGATGACTATATGTGTGTGCGTGTGTCTTATGTGTGTCTATGTGAGTGTGTGCATATATAGTCAGGACACTTACTGTTAGTTTTCCATAGACCCAGTCTTGTTCAAGACCTTTCTCTTTGGCAACATGTTCATTGATATAATCATTCAGCTTGTCCATGGTCCATGCGGTGTCTTCTTTTAAGTCTTTGTACGCTGGATCTTTTTTCTGAACAAACTGGAAAAAAAAAAACACAAGAAAAATGAAGCTACATAAATGATACAAACAGGACAGTTAGAACCTTCTTCTCTTTCTGTGCTCACCTTTCAGAGGGTGGTTGGTGCAATATGTTGCGGTTTACAGCTAGGCTGTGATATCTGTGCCTTTCAACTCAATATGTCCAATTTCAGCAAACCCTGTCTTAGTCACTTTTTATGATATGCTTGTTAGGAGACAGTGGGTTTATTTATTTATTTAAAAAAAAAAAAATAGGGCCCTTGAAACCACATAGGAAAACTGGAATAAACTCTACAATCACAATGCAAGTAACACAATTAGCACCACACTGTGCAAACTGTGAACATAAAGTAAAAGAATCAACATCAAACTCTATGAACTGTAAAAAAAACAAAAGGTAAATTAAACAATCAGAATCAATGAAAAATAAGGAACACAAACAAATTTGAATCAAACTCTACAAACTATGAATACAAGGCAAATAAAACAATAAGCACCAAACTACAAACTATGAATACAAATCAAATTAAACAATAAGTACCAAACTCTACAAACTGTAAACAGAAGGATAAAAAAAAAACCTACAAGGTGAACGCATATAGATAAATATATAGATTTAGCACCCAACTTTAAAAAAAAATGTAGATAAAAAGGTACGGATGAATGTTATGAAAGATCCATATTTTACAAAACAACAGCCCTTTGAGGGGTGATGCGACAAATAATGGTTAAGGTGTGATAGGAGGAACACGCTCAAGGCATTGTGTGAGCAGCAGAATTTAAGGAGTGTTGTCGGAAACACCACTTATGGAGTGTTGTGGGAAACACCACTTAAGGAGTGTTGTGGTAAACACCACTTAAGGGGTGCTGTGGGAAACATCATTTAAGGAATGTTGTGGGAAGTAGCACTTAGAAAGTTTTATGAGAGAGGGCAATTGAAGGGTTTCCATTGGGGTTTTGGGGCCCCATTGTTGGGAAAACAACAATAGACCCAGTGCCTTCCCAGCAAGCATATCATAGGTGTCAACTAATTGGGGACTTCCTTCAAAGTCTGAATGCATCTGCCTGAGGGGCAAGGAACAACTAGCTGCACACAAATTAGCCAGTAAAATGGATGTACATGCAAAACTCAGGCCCTGGCACAAAGCCAAAGTCAAAAGGGATGAACAACCAGGACTTTCGTTCGGAGCTTACAGCCGGTGAACAAAGAAGAAGAAGAAGCTTAAAGGGTGAAGTAGGAAATGTCACTGGAAGGAAAATGCGGGAATTGGCACCAAGCTGACAGATGCATGGTGTGGTCAAACAAAATGAAATCATCCCTACCTATTATGATATGTGCCATGTGGTAAAAGGGTAAAAGACCACTGCATCCCACCTAACTGGTAAGACGCGTGGTATGGTAAAAAAAAACCCCACCGCATCCTGCCCCTAGTCTTCTTCCCTCCACTGTATGTTAAAAAGTGCAGTGTCATGTGTGGTGAGGTAAAACATTGTAAGCCCCACCGGACTGTTGAGATGTGTGGTGAGGTAAAACAATGTTAACCCTACCTAACTGCTGAGATCTGTGGTGAGGTAAAACAATATAAACCTTACCTAACTTTTTCTGATGTATTTGAGGCAAAATAGTCCTATCCATAACTAACTGTTCACATGTGTGGTGAGATAAAACAATTTAAACACCACCTAACTTGAGATGTGTGGGAGGTCAAACATCACTACCCCCACCAAACTGGATGTAAGTAGTAAGGTAAAACAATGTAAACCCGACCAAACTGTTGACATGTGTGGTGAGATAAAACAATATAAATCCCACCTAACTGTTGAGATGTGTGGGAGGTCAAACATCACTATCCCCACCAAACTTGATGTAAGAAGTAAAGTAAAACAATGTAAACCTGACCAAACTGTTGACATGTGGGATGAAGTGAAACAACACAACTCCCACCTAACTGTTGAGATGCGTGGCCACTTAAAACAACATAACACCTACCTGGTTGGTGAGATGAATGGTGAGGTTATTATCCTCGGGGCTGTACTTGTGGCATGACAACCTCACGTAGCCTTTATGGTAGAGTACCAGAAAGGGAACTGTGCTGGCAATAAACATATAGGATCGTATATCAAACTTTCGCCCCTCAAGTAAAAGTGGATGGCAGATGTATCTGGGGAAAAACCCACAGACGCACACAATTAACACAGTATTAATTTAAACATGTTTAAAGGCAAGAGGATTAACTCTTCCTGCTGCTGCTGAAGCTATTACTTCTTCTCCTGCTGTTGTTGCTGCTGCTGCTTCTTTTCCTTCTTCTTCTTTGTTTTCTCCTCCTCATCCTCCACCTCCTCCTCCAACCATGTTCTACATCTCAGGGTGTGGTTTTTAACAGGCCTCTGGTGCGAGCCTTGGTGTGTGCTAAGTAGATTCTGTTGTTCACAACCTTGGATATCCCATCTGTCAACTGCATGAGATCTCTAGCTCTGTTTCCATTGTGTCTTAATCATCATTGCATGGCATAGCCCATTCTGTAGAGTGTTGGGCAAAGTACCAACCTCCTTAGCACAAAGCTCCTAGAACAACATTAAAACAACACTTAAAGAGACGCAAACGAACAAAAATGTCCACAAGCTAACAAGAAACAGAAAATAACAACACTACAAAAACTGCAAGAAAATGTTTATGCTTATGCTGATGAAAGTTTTTTAGCTACAATGTTTATTTTGTGGTTGCTGACTGTGATATTTTAAAACTGACTAGTTCTACTTTTACAAGCCAGAAAGAAAAAAAAAAGTCTGAAAATCTGCCTGTGGTACTCACCGTTGTACAATCCTCAACAAGGGTCCTCTGTTGTTCAACTTTGGGTTCAGTTTGGCGTCCCTATCCCCCAGCAGCTGGTCAACCTTTTCTTTAGACCTCAACAAAAAAATACCCTTCCCTTGATTCATGCCGGTAGGTTTACAGATCCAGGTTTCTCCATCTGTTGAGATGACTTTATGGATTATGACTTTGTGGGTTATGATAGTGTGGATTACAACTGTGTGGGTTATGGATGTGTGGATTATGGCTGTTTGCATATGACTATGTGGATTAAGGCTGTGTAGGTTATGATTATGTTGAGTATGGCTATATGGATATGACTATGTGAGTATAGCTTTATGAATTATGGCTATGTGGATTATGGCTATATGGATTATGACTATATGGATTATGACTATATTGATTATGACTATATGGTTTATGGCTATGTGGGTATGAGTTTGTGGATTATGACTGTGTGGATTATGACTAACTAGATTATGACAGAGTGGATTATGGCTATGTGTGTATGATAGGATTATGACTAGATGGATTAGGACTATGTGGGTTATGACTACATGGATTATGATTATGATGATAATGACTGTGGGTATGACGATGTTGATTATAGCTATGTTGGTATGACTTTGCTGATAAAGACCATTGTGGATTATGACTATGTGGGCTATGATTATCAAAGTATATGCTTTGAATGTGTGGTTTATGAGATTGTGGATTATGAGTGTGTGGGTTATGACTATGTGAGATATGAATGTGTTGGTTATGACTGCATGGATTCTGAACTGTCTGGTTTATGACTGTGTGAACTATAATTAGGTGCCTTATGACTGTTGTTATAACTATATGGATAATACCAATGTGGGTTATACATGATATATACACAAATAGTAAGCAAATGATATGGCTGGTTTACCAAATCTTGTAGAGGATGTGCAACAAATTTGATATTTTTTGTGTGTGTCGGTAATCCTACCTTTATATTCCTCTATAAAGATATCCATGTCTTTATTGTGACTCTACCTTTATAGTCTTCTATAAATGTATTCCTGTCTATATTGTGTGTGACCCTACCTTTATATTCTTGCATAAATGTACCGATGTCTTTGTTGTGTGTCACCCTATTTTTATATTATTGTATAAACTTCTCATTGTCCCCTTTGTTGTGTGTCACCCTTGCATAAACTTCTTCATGTCTTTGTTGTCTGTCACCCTACCTTTATATTCTTGTAAAAATGTCCCTCTGTCTTAGTTCTCTGTCACCCTACCTTTATTTTATTGCATAAACTTCTCTCTATATTTGTTGTCTGTCACCCTATCTTTATATTCTTGTATAAATGTCTTTGTTATGTGTCACCCTACCATTTTTCAAATATAAATGTCTCCCAGTCTTTGTTGTTTGTCACTCTACCTTTACGATATTGTAAAAATGTCCCTCTGTCTTCGTTGTCTGCCATCCTATCCTAATTATATTGTATAAACGTCTGTAACCCTACCTTTATATTTTTGTATAAATGCATCAATGTCTTTCTTGTGTGTCACCCTACCTTAATACTCCTGTACAAATGTATCCCTGTCTTTGTGGAATGCCACCCTACCTTTATATTCCTGTATAAATTTCTCCCTATCCACTTTGTCATCCAATTTGTAAGTTTCTGGAACGAAGTCAGCCATTCTCAATCTCGGTAGCCTCCCTTTGGTAAGCAAAGTAATTCGCTCATATTCCTGGAGACTGCACAATAGGCCCAGCTTGTTGGTCAGAAGTTTACAATTTGGAATATGGTTCACCAGCTGTTCTCCTGAAAATGTAAAATATGGTTTACAGGCTGTTCTCCTAAATATGTAAGATAGGGTTTAGGGGCTGTTCTCCTGCAAATGTAAGAAATGATTTAGGGGCTGTTTTCCTGAAAATGTAAGAAATGGTTTAGGGGCTGTCTTCCTGAAAATGTAAGATATGATTTAGGGGCTGTTCTCCTTAAAATGTAAGAAATGGTTTAGAGGCTGTTTTCCTAAAAATGTAAGAAATGGTTTAGGGGCTGTCTTCCTGAAAATGTAAGATATGGTTTAGGGGCTGTCTTCCTGAAAATGTAAGATATGATTTAGGGGCTGTTCTCCTTAAAATGTAAGAAATGGTTTAGGGGCTGTTTTCCTGAAAATGTAAGAAATGGTTTAGGGGCTGTCTTCCTGAAAATGTAAGATATGGTTTAGGGGCTGTCTTCCTGAAAATGTAAGATATGATTTAGGGGCTGTTCTCCTTAAAATGTAAGAAATGGTTTAGGGGCTGTTCTCCTTAAAATGTAAGAAATGGTTTAGGGGCTGTTTTCCTAAAAATGTAAGAAATGGTTTAGGGGCTGTCTTTCTGAAAACGTAAGATATGGTTTAGGGGCTGTTCTCCTTAAAATGTAAGAAATGGTTTAGGGGCTGTTTTCCTAAAAATGTAAGAAATGGTTTAGGGGCTGTCTTCGTGAAAATGTAAGATATGGTTTAGGGGCTGTTCTCCTGAAAATGTAAGAAATGGTTTAGGGGCTGTCTCCCTGAAAATGTAAGAAATGGTTTAGGGGCTGTTTTCCTAAAAATGTAAGAAATGGTTTAGGGGCTGTCTTCCTGAAAATGTAAGATATGGTTTATGGGCTGTTCTCCTTAAAATGTAAGAAATGGTTTAGGGGCTGTTCTCCTTAAAATATAAGATATGGTTTAGGGGCTGTTCTCCTTAAAATGTAAGAAATGGTTTAGGAGCTGTTCTCCTTAAAATGTAAGAAATGGTTTAGGGGCTGTTTTCCTAAAAATGTAAGATATGGTTTAGGGGCTGTTTTTAGGTGCTGTTTTCCAAAAAATGTAAGAAATGGTTTAGGGGCTGTCTTCCTGAAAATGTAAAATATGGTTTAGGGGCTGTTCTCCTTAAAATGTAAGAAATGGTTTAGGGGCTGTTCTCCTGAAAATGTAAGATATGGTTTAGGGGCTGTTCTCCTGAAAATGTAAGATATGGTTGATGAGTTGTTCTAGAAATTTGAGTTATATTTTATGAACTGTTCTCCTAAAAATGTTAGTTTGGTTTAAGAGTGGTTCTCTTGAAAATGTAAGATGTGGTTTATCAAACTTTTCTCCTGTAAATTTAAAAGATGGTCCATGAGTTATCTGAAGTTCAGGCATCCCTTACTTAAACAGTTGAGTTAGGAACTGACATCACAGCACTTGACATCCCCATAAGCACCCCATGCTCATCTTCAGCAGCCAGTGCTGAGTTTCAATTCTGATAGTACCAGTAAAAATCTGATTGTATGTGCATCTTGCCTTTCTTTTGTGCTGAGTGTATGCTATATCCTAAAGCCGCTCCTCACTTCAACATTCTCTTCAGACCACTATGATCAATTTGTCTTCCCACACAGTTCGCTCACGGCTACAGGACTTATTTTTCTAAAACCCTTGAGGTTTATTGCTGCAGATATAAACCCCCTCCCCCCCTCCCCCACTCATCTCTCTGGTTGGCCTTATCTTTCCAGTTGGTGACACCCAATGTTTGCAGGTCTGTCTGGACATTATCTCTCTATATTCTTCTTGGTCTGCCTCGTGGTCTACGAACATTCATCACCATTGTGTATACAGTTTTTACCTCTCTGTCTGCTCCTAAAGGATATTGACAACATTTAGCTTGTCTTGCATTAGTTTACTTCTAGGTGGTATGGCGCCAGCAACTCTATCTGTCTGTTCATGTCCCAACACACCTGAATACGCTGCACAGAATATCCAAACTACCCGGTACTTCTGAAGCAATGACGACCCATCTGCATGAAGCCTACCCTGTCTCCACTTTCCTCAACATCTTTTGTGGGTCTGTTACAATCACAACATTTGTGTACAGCTGGTTCAAACCAGCAGAAGCTGCAATGACTGTCTCCACCTCCAGTCTCAAACCAAACATGGATTCGAACAATCAAACAAAGCTACAGATAAACTTTGTCCAAGGTGTGTCTCCTTCTTACCTTCTCTAAAAGTCAAGTAGTTTATCCTGCTCTTATTCTCCACCCACTTGAGCTTGAACCTCTCATCGTATCTGTCAGCAGTCCGTCTCCAGCCCAAAGCTAGCAAAGGACCTTCAACTCTGCCGACACATTGAATAGTCTAAGAATGGTGACATGAGGTTTGTGAATGCGTTTAACAATTTCATGACCTGGAAGTCAACTGCAAAAAATCTGCCTCAACAAGGATTTTAATCTACGACGAAGAGGCCAGCGGGCAAGGTTCCTAATAAAGTGACTACCACAAAATCCAATAATTAGATAAGGTAAGTCATGGGAAAGGGATGTGCAGAAGCAGAGGTTCAACAGCCGATAGAGGACGACTCTAGACCAGATGTTATTATATATACTGGTTGGTCAGTGGCCAAGGGCAGAACGAGTGGATGGGGCTTCATTTCAAGAGCATAGGGTTGTTGTTGTTGTTGTTATCGATCCAGCGGCGCATGAGCTTTCGCCCTTTGGCCCAATGCCATGTAGTGGAATTTGCATGTTTTCACAAGCTGTTTTTTTCCTCCGTACAAGGTGTTCCACTTGTCTGGTCTCGGAGGGAGTAGCGTTCTTCTTGTCTCACTGAGTTTTGGGCACTCAAAGAGATGGTGTTCAACAGTTTCGTAGGGGTAGTTACATAGCTGGCACTCTGGGGAGTGTTGTGGCTGTATTCTGTTTAGGTGTCCATTGAGTGGAGTATGTTGCGTTCTAAGTCTGAAGATGGTGGCCTGGTCCCTTCTTGTTAGATGGTTAATGCTGTCATTAGGATCAGGGCCAGACATATGTCTATAAACCTCTCTTCCAGTGTCTCCCATGGCCCATCTGTTCAACCAAGTCTCTTTGTTTATAGCTCTTATCAGTGTTTTTGCTGTCTGGAGGGTTGTCGCTGTAGGTGGTTGTTCTTGTGTTGCTCCTTTCTTTGCCAATCTGTCAGCTCTGTCATTACCTGGTGTGCCGGAGTGACCTGGAATCCACTGCATCACTATTCTGATGTTGTATGAGGTAATAAGCTGATCGGCATCCAGGATTATCTTGGCTATGTCAGTTCTGCAGCGTTCATTGCCCTCCAGAGCTTGAAGGGCAGACATTGAATCTGTGAAGATGACAATATTTTGGACCTTTGAGGGGTAAACATCCATTACAGTCTTTAGGTGGTATACTGCTGTTTCCAGTGCAATTATTTCAGCTTCATAGTTTGAACAGAATTCCCCGCATGCATCAAAAATCTCTTCAACAGATCCATCGGGATAACCTATGTAGATTCCGTAACCTGCTTTAATGGTAGCTTTAAATGCTGATCCATCAGTATAGACATGTATCCATTCTTGGGGGTAAGAATCAACGGCATAGGGTAGAAGAATGACTGAGGAGAGCTTAGCAAACAATATTACCAAATGCAGCATGAGACTGGAGGCTGAGGCAGTAACTGCGGCGTTCCAGTGGGTAGAGACAATTTGAAACACACATGGTGTCATATTATCGGATTCGCAAAACATACTCAGGAAGTTAGAGTCAGGTCTTCTTCGTATGCAATGGATCGCATCAGTCCAGATGTTGCAGCTGGTGAGAGTCACATGGATATGTTGCCCGGACGATGAGGCCGTGCTGAGAAGTTGTCACCTGCCTCTATACAAGGCAGAGATGATCTCTCGCGTGTGACCGGAGTTGGGAAGTAAAATAGAATGTGCTGAAAATGCGCACTCGGAGAGAATATTGCACTGGGGAGTGTCTGTGGGCTCCGGTCGCCACTCAAGACTCGGAGGACAGGCAAAATGAGTAGTAAACCAGATGAGAACGGACACCATCAACATGGCTTCGCTGGCTCTTGAGAAGGATGACGTGGCTAGTATGCGTTTGTTCTGAATGAAGTTATGTCGAAGATTAAGGCCAAGGACATTATTCAGCAGGTGTGTTCACTTGACAACATAGAATCTAGCGAGGAATGGGTACAATACAGTGTTGTACGACCTTTTATGTTTGCATCCAACAGGATAGAAAATGCAGACAAGAAAGTCCAGTCGCTGTTGAGGCAGAAGTGCAGGTTTGATTTTCGAGAATTCTCTGCAGGGGGATGCTGTCATTTAAACCTACGGGCCTGTGATTCGCCCTGTGGGAAGCTCTTGGGCTTTTACTGCTCAGATTGGAATTATAATGGTGAAGCAAGATTCTGGTGCTGTCGCCTTGGCCACAAATGGTCTGACTATGGAGGTTATGGCAGTGATTAAAGCAGTAACATGGCTGGAATAACAAACCTTTCCCCGCGCATGCTTTCTCGGTGACTCAATGACCAAGCTCAGGAAGACTGTAATAGGCTGCGTTCGAAGACAGTCGCTAGAGTCCTAAAAGCGGTCAGGACTGACACGTATCAGTTTCATATTTGTACCAAGGCATGCAGGCATGCAAGGAAACAAGCAAGCTGATCGGCATGCAGGTAAAGCTATCGTGGAGGGCAGACAAGCCATTGACCATGCTGACGTTCGGAATGCTCTACGAGAAGTAAGAATTTTGAGAACATGTTGAAAAAGGTGTGGCTAGACAAAAGCACTATGCAGGAAGCCAAAGAAGAATAAGAAAACAACAAATAACTAATGTCGTCACCTGCTAGATGCTGCGGGATTTACTAAGGAGGGGATCCAAGCACGTATGGAGTGACTGGTTTGATGTGCAATGAGGATAATCTATCGACCAACTATGTGGAATCTGTACCCAGAATAACCCAGCCCCTTGTGGTTTCCTTGGTCCTATATAATGGGAGGAAGGTGGGGATGGGGATGTGAACAGACCCACAGCTCAACAAGCTTGTCGCAAAAGGCGACTAATTATGGATGTGATGGCTGGAAAGGTGCAGTATCCCAGCCTAGCTGTAAACCACAACACAACGTGCCGAAGCCCTATGTAAGAAGAACAAGAAGATTAAGAAGAAGAAGAAGAAGAAGAAGAAGAAGAAGAAGAAGAAGAAGAAGAAGAAGAAGAAGAAGAAGAAGAAGAAGAAGAAGAAAAAGAAGGTGTTGTAAAGGGGCAGATAATGGGTTATAAACAAGAGAAAAACAAACAATAGCTACAGTGAGTTGTTTCCCCTTGACCAAAAAAACCACTGGTATTTAAAAAAAAAAGTTTTTACGCAGTAGAGTCTTGAACATATAATGTTAGCCACAGTTTTAAAACGCAACTGTGTTTAATGGATGTTATCGTCAAATTAAAATGAATCGACTGTGATTTCTGGGACATTTACTAGAACCCATTTTAGGCTGGGTCGAGCTGGAAGCAAAGATCAGTTTTTTTTTTTTTAAAACCCACCCGGTGCTGTATCGACATCCTACATGATCTGAGCATCGAAGAGAATTTGCTCATAAACAGCACCCTGTTCCGAAAGTTGGGATATTCTGGCCATGTTAAAGTCATGCTAGCCTTGTGAGAGCGGTCATGGAGAGTTCCTGAAAACTAGGTAAAGTCAGAGCTTCGCGAAGGTGGATACAAGACAGTGGAGATGCGTTGGCTCTGAAAGCACAGAAGGCTGGAAAACAATCTATACTGTTGAAAAATAAATTTACGCATAGTTATCTAATGGCGCATTTTTATTATTTTGTAAATAAAATATTGTACTCGGGAATGTGAAAAGCAGACTCAAATATTGTTTACCGTGTCCAGTGGACATGTGGGCGTGAATTGCGTGGGTTTTTGTAATCGTTACAACGCAGTTATCAATTGTGTTTAAGACCATATTTGTGAGCATAGCTCACGATGCACGCACGAAAAAGCAACCCAATTTTTAAGCAGTCACAAATGACGCCTCTATCAATAAATTTAAAGAATATTGCTTATGGCCGACTGCAGGCAGGAGAAAGGCAGATTGCCAACCATCTAAACGTGCATCAGAGTACCATCAGTCGACTTCGGCACCGGTTCCAAGCCACTGGTTTTGTTGAAGACCGACATCGCAGTGGACGACCCAGAGTGACAACAGCAGCGGAAAATCGCTTTATTCGGTAACATCACCTCAGAGACAGGTTCACAGCAGCTTCCTAAACTGCACAGACATTGCTTTCAGGGCGTCATTTGTCTGATCAAACTGTTTGGAACAGACTGCATGATTTTGGACTTTGGGCTCGACGACCACACCCAGGACCTATCCTTACGAGTCGCTACCGCCAAAATCGACTTCTTTGGGCCAACCAGCATCGTCCCTGGGCAAGTGACAATCAACGGAGACGTGTCTGGTTCAGCGACGAATCTTTCTTTTTGTTGCAGCGTCATGATAGACGGCGTAGGGTCTACCGAAGACGAAGTGAAGTTTTAGCCCAAAGTTGTGTTGATGAAGCTCTGCTGCACGCTGGTGGAGGTGTAATGGTATGGGGAATGATCAGTTACAAAGGAAGGAGTCAATTGGTGCACATTGAAGGAAGTTTGAATGCGCAACGATACGTCTATTAAATTCTTCGACCACATATCCTTCCATTTTGGGATGCCAACAGATATCTTTTTCAACAGGACAACGCCAGACCCCATTCTACACAGCTGACCACTTTTCATTCTCTATCAAGGACTTGTGTTAGGCGTCACTGACTAGGGTATTGGCCTCCTCACTGTCAGCAAAACCCAGCTAGAAAGACTGGACCCAGTACAAAATGAGTCCGTGAGACTCATACTCGGCTGCACAAAATTCACCTCATGAAACGCCAAGTGTTATGTCCTTGGTTTGCCGACGACGACTAGCAGACACAAAGTAGCACAGTATGTTCGTTCCTTTAAGTAACTATGCGGTTTTTTATAAATAATATAGAAACAAAGAAACGCATAGGCCTTCCGAGAAGAGAGCAACGTCCTGTAAAGGACTTGCTAATTAATAATGACACGGTGCAGATTCGAACTAGTGACTTTCAAGCCGCCAGACAAGCGTCTAACCACGAGCCTACCACAACTCTTATTTGTACACTGAGGTCAATTAAAAGACGCTTCTCAAGAGAGCAGCATCGAAGCGTCTCCGGCAGGTGTTTCCAGATTTAAGTAGGTCACCAGAGGGGAAACCCACACTTCCTTTCTACGTTTAACCTCAATACGACAGTAAACTGGTCGCCTTTCAAAGCACTTTAGAATGCAAACAAGAAATCAGATGCTGCAGCAACATTGTGTAAGGTCTGCCGTATGAAAAGCTATACTGGCTTATGGAACTCATCGGGACAGCTTTTTTTTGCGCGCGCTGACAAATTCAACATGCACGTTGTTCTCATTGTTGTAAATTGGTCTTCTTTTTTGCCATTTCAATTCTTGGCACGTGACATGAGAATGTTTGCATATGAGTGACAGGTCTTCAATCAACGCAGCCGGGTCCCGGGGTTTCGTGTGAAAAGAGCTGTCCGTGTGTAAGAAGTAGGTGCTGTGGGCATGGCCAGGGATGCTAGGACGTTGCGGCCCGGGGCGGTGGGCGGGTTGAGCTTCTCTCCATGTACATCCTTAAAGGGCTTAAGTTGTTGAGAAAAAAGAGTTTAGTCAACACGCCCAGAAAAAAAGAGTCTAATCGGCAATAAGAACAATGCACCCCCCCCCCTCTCAAAAAAAAAAACAAAATATAGCCAACAAGAAAAACAATGACCCAGAAACGAATGTATAGCTAACAAGAAAGATAATGTCCCTGAAAAAAAAAAGAGTTAAATCAACAACAAGAAGAGTGCCACAGGCAGCAAAAAATCTAGTTAAAAATATCAGAAGAGTACCCCAGAAAAAAAAAAAAGAGTTTAGTCAACATGAAGTATAATGCCCCCTCCCCCCCCCCCCACCTTTAAAAAAAAATAGAATAGTCAAGAAGAAGAAGATTGCCCCCCCCCCCCCCACCCAAAAAAAGTATAGTCAGTAAGAAGAACAGTGCTGCAGAAAAAATAGTCCAGTCAACAAGAAGAACAGAGCGCCCCCCCCCCCCCCCCCGAAAAAAAAAAAAAACAAGAACAAGAAGAGTTCCCCGGAAAAAAAAGAGTCTAGTCAAAACGAGGAAGACTGCCCCAGAAAACAAAGAGTCTAATCAACAAGAAGACAGTGCCCCGGAAAGCAAAAGAGTCTACTCAACAAGAAGAACAGTGCCCCAGAAGAAAGAGTAAAGTCAACAAGAAGAAGAGTGCCCCAGAAAAAAAAGAGTACAGTAAACAACAAGAACAGTGCACCCTAAAAGAAAGAGTACAGTCAACAACAAGAAGAACAGTGCCCCAGATGAAAGAGTACAGAGAACAAGAAGAACAGTGCCCCAGAAGAAACGTACAGTGAACCTGAAGAACAGTGCCCTAGAAGAAAGAGTACAGTCAGCAACAAGAACAGTGCAACAGAAGAAAGAGTTCAGTCAGCAACAAGAACAGTGCAACAGAAGAAAGAGCTCAGTCAACAACAAGAACAGTGGCCGAGAAGAAAGAGTACAGTCAACAACAAGAAAGTGCACCAGAAAGAAGAGTACGGTCATGAAGAACAGTGCCTTAGAAGAAAGAATAGAGTCAACAAAAAGAACAGTGCCCAGAATAAAATAAAACCAAGAAGAAGTACAGTGCACCAGAAGAAGGAACACAGTCAACAAGAAGAACAGTGCCCTAGAAGAAAAAGTACAGTCAACAAGATCAGTGCCCCAGAAGAATAAGTACAGTCAACAAGAACAGTGCTCCAAAAGAAAAAGTACAGTCAACAAGAAGACAGTGTCCCAGCTGAAAGAGTACAGTCAACAACAAGAACAGTGCGCCCAAAGAAAAAGTACAGTCAACAAAAAGAACTGTGTCCTAGAAGAAAAAGTACAGTCAACAAAAACTGTGCCGCAGAAAAAAGTACAGCCAACAAGAACAGCACCACAGAAGAATGAGTACAATCAACAAGATCAGTGCTTCAGAAGAAAAAGTACAGTCAACAAGAACAATGCCCCAGCAGAAAAAGTACAGTCAACAACAAGAACAGTGCACCCGAAGAAAAAGGACAGTAAACAACAAGAACAGTGCCTCAGAAGAAAGAGTACAGTGAACAATAAGAACAGTGTCTAAGAAGAAAGAGTGCAGTCAACAAGAACAGTGGCACAGAAGAAAGAGTGCAGTCAACAAGAACAGTGGCACAGAAGAAAGAGTACAATCAACAAGAAGAAAAGTGTCCAAGAAGAAAGAGTACAGTGAACAAGAACAGTGTAACAGAAGCAAGGTGTACAGTCAACAAGAAAAAGGGTGTCCCAGAAGAAACAGTACAGTCAACAAGAACAGTGTCCCAGAGGAAAGAGTACAGTCAACAAGAACAGTAACATAGAAGAAAGAGAATTGCCAACAAGAACAGTAGCCCAGAAGAAAGAGTACAGTCAACAAGAACAGTAGCCCAGAAGAAAAAAGAACTGGCAACAAGAAGAACAGTAGCCAAGAAAAAGGAGTACAGTCAACAACAAGAAGAGTGCCCCAGAAGAAAGAAAGTAGCCTAGAAGAAAGAGAACTGCCTATAAGAAGAACAGTGCCCTAGAAGAAAGAGTAGAGTCAACAAAAACAAAGGCCCTGACGAGAAAAGGCTTGTCAACAAGAAAACGAGGATCCTCAGTGAAAGAGTATGCAATCTCATTGGCCTCTCTATTTGAAGAGTATAGTCAATATTAAGCAGTGTCCCCGAATCCTGTATGCTGGCAGGAAACAAAAGAACAAATAATAAATTTTTTAAAGAGTATAGTCAATATAAAGCAGTGTTCCCGAAACATATATGCTAGCAGGAAACGAAAGAACAAATAAACCATTTTTTTTTCAGTGTCACAATATGCAGATCTCCGAAGTAACCCAAATAAAAGAGGATAAGACCTCATTGGCGACCCCATGGAGTGTGTGATTTCACTGGCGACCTAAGGAAAAGAGTATAAACAATAAGAAGAATACTGCCCCGAAGAAACAGTTAGTTAGTTAGTTAGTTAGTTAGTTAGTTAGTTAGTTAGTTAGTTAGTTAGTTAGTTAGTTAGTTAGTTAGTTAGTTAGTTAGTTAGTTAGGTAGGTAGTTAGTTAGTCGACATCAGACCAATCGATCTATAAGTGCTAGGATAAGTTCCTCAAGATATCTGGCACAGTGCAACACAAGTTCTGTCTTGGCTTCTTATTTTCGCTGGTTTCCAGCAGGGAGCTCTTGTCTGGCCGTACGGCTTTAAATGTTCTGTTCTCGCAGTCTAGACATGGTTGCAGATTCAAAGTCATCACTTGGTTTTTGCAAACGTCTTACATCTCGTAGAGTATTCAGTATATCAGTTTGGTTCATGGCTCGTCAGCTCTTCACAGTAGCTTTACCTGCAAGCTTTGTCAGCCTATGATAAGCTCAACAAGAAGACAAACGCCTCTGATGAAGGAGTGAATTCAACAAGAAGACCTTATACTCACAAGGAGATCCCATTTCCGCCTCCAATGAAGAAAGTCGGCTGCATGTTGGTGGGCAGACAGCACGGCGTTAGCTTAGCTGGTCGACGGTCCCTTCTATAGATGCCTTCTCTACCTTCTCCAGTGTCTTTATACGTGTCACCAGAACCCCCGTCCCTCTGGATGTTTAGTATTTGTTCGTTTATGCTTTCTGTTTGCACTTGCCTGTTCCCCTCCTCTGAGTCATGGGAGCCAGGTGGTTCACCTCCTGAGGAAACAAGACAGTCCCTTGAAGTGGTTAAGTAATTCGCTGAGTAACAGACTGATATGTACAAAGAAAAACAGTTAGACCTGTACATGATACAAATACAGACGCTCGCGCGCACACACACACGCAGAAACACACGCGCTCACACTTTTACCTCATTAACTGACTGTGTCCCATTATATACGGTTAGGCCGTTGAAGGGGATTTCGAACATTCACATAGTGATAATTTAAAACAATGGGTGCCAGTATGTAGGGCTGCAAGCTTGCACGCAAAAAAGAAAATTCCCCACGATTTAGCCATTTCTACTTTCACAGATACTCCATTGTTACAGCTATTAGCACCCACCTCATGATCTCCAGCGAACATTGTTACCTCTTTTGGCACCCACCACACAATCTCATGCATTGTTACAGGTTCTAGTACCTACCTCACGATCTCTAGAAACTTTGTTGCAGCATCTGTCACCCACCACACTATCTCTAGCAAACACTGGTACAGCTTCTAGCACCCACCACACGATCTCTAGCAAACTTTGTTACAGCTTCTGGCACCCACCACACGATCTCTAGCAAACACTGGTACAGCTTCTAGCACCCACCACACGATCTCTAGCAAACTTTGTTACAGCTTCTGGCACCCACCACACGATCTCTAGCAAACATTGTTACAACTTCTGGCACCCATTATACGATCTCGAGGAAACATGTTTACAACTTTTGGCACTCACCACACGATCTCTGGCAAACATTGTTACATCTTCTGGTACCCATCATACGATCTCTAGCAAACATTGTTACAACTTCTGGCACCCACCACGCGATCTCTAGCAAACGTTGTTACAACTTCTGGCACCCACCACGCGATCTCTAGCAAACATTGTTACAAGTTCTGGCTCCCACCACACGATCTCTATCAAACAGTGTTACAACTTCTGGCACCCACCACACGATCTCTGGCAAACATTGTTACAACTTCTGGCACCCACCACACGATCTCTAGCAAACATTGTTACAACTTCTGGCACCCACCACACGATCTCTAGCAAACATTGTTACAACTTCTGGCACCCTTCATACGATCTCTAGCAAACATTGTTACAACTTCTGGCACCCACCACACGATCTCTAGCAAACAGTGTTACAACTTCTGGCACCCACGACACGATCTCTAACAAACATTGTTACAACTTCTGGCACCCACCACACGATCTCTAACAAACATTGTTACAACTTCTGGCACCCACCACACGATCAATATACCTATTTAAGGCTGGGTCGCACGGGAAGCCAAAGTCTATTCTGACAAAAACTTGACTCAATGCAGATTCAAATCCAAGACTTTCGAGCCACAATGCTAACGCCACTCCCTATCAGCCACGTAAGAACTCATAAATATCACTCTACCACAAGCTCAAAACATGATAGGTCATCAGCATTTGTGATGGAAGAACAATGTGGGTATTGATCGCCTACCATCATCATCAACATCATCAATTTTCTCTATGTCTAGAGGCACACGAGGCTTCAGAGAAGACTTTCCATGCTTTCCTGTCCTCCACAATCTTCAGTGCAGTTTTCCATGTCAGAGATGCCGCACTCAGGTCACTCTTCATCGTTCGTCTCCATGTTGTTTTTGGGCGCCCATTTTTTTCTCTTTCCGTCGCCTACCATCCTCAGGTAGAACTGCTGGGATGCTCTAGCAAGCTCACAGCACGAACGAATCCTTACCCACACAGGACTTTGGTTACATCGGGCTGCTGACGCATCCTTACCCACACAGGACTTTGGTTACATCGGGCTGGTGACGTATCGTTACCCACATAGGACTTTGGTTACATCGGGCTGGTGACGTATCGTTACCCACATAGGACTTTGGTTACACCGGGCTGGTAACGTATCGTTACCCACATAGGACTTTGGTTACATCGGGCTGGTGACTTTCCTTACCAACACAGGACTTTGGATACATTAGGCTGGTGACGTATCCTTACCCACACAGGACTTTGGTTACATCAGGCTGGTGACTATCCTTACCCACAACAGGACTTTGGTTACATCTGGCTGGTGACTATCCTTACCCACAACAGGACTTTGGTTACATCGGGCTGGTGACTATACTTACCCACACAGGACTTTGGTTACATCGGGCTGGTGACTATACTTACCCACAACAGGACTTTGGTTACATCAGGCTGGTGACTATACTTACCCACACAGGACTTTGGTTACACCGGGCTGGTGACTATCCTTACCCACAACAGGACTTTGGTTACATCAGGCTGGTGACTATCCTTACCCACAACAGGACTTTGGTTACATCGGGCTGGTGACTATCCTTAAACACAACAGGACTTTGGTTACATCGGGCTGGTGACTATCCTTACCCACAACAGGACTTTGGTTACATCGGGCTGGTGACTATCCTTACCCACAACAGGACTTTGGTTACATCGGGCTGGTGACTATCCTTACTCACAACAGGACTTTGGTTACATCGGGCTGGTGACTATACTTACCCACACAGGACTTTGGTTACACCGGGCTGGTGACGTATCCTTACCCACACAGGACTTTGGTTACATCAGGCTGGTGACTATCCTTACCCACAACAGGACTTTGGTTACATCGGGCTGGTGACTATCCTTACCCACACAGGACTTTGGTTACACCAGGCCAGTGAAACCGTTACAGGTGCCCTACTTATAACTTCTTTAGAGGTTGAATGGGGTATCTGGGATCTGCTTTGTTGATCTACGGTCCACACAGAGATTGGGTAAATCTCTAAATGATCTGGTAAACCTTAAGGTTGCAGCCCGGATGGGACCAACTGATGGATCATTCGAACAGAGTGATCAATATCTACCCTTCTACGTCTTAACCAGAATCTCTGACGCCAACACGATTACATGACATCAGAGTTAAGCTAGGTAAAGCAAGACGGTGCCGTATTCGAGGTCCAGACAAGAGACATTCTAACCAACTGCTCTTTGAACAGTCAGTAGAGACTCTTTGTGAGTTGCTGCTGTATGGGAGGACTGTGCACGCACATAAATATCTAATGTGCAATGGCGCCGATTGTGATAATATGCAGGGCCGGATTTAAATTTGATGAGGCCCTAATTAATAACGCTCTGATGCCCTTGCCGTTTCGAATTGCACCAGCTAATCTAAAAAAATCTGAAAACCTCTACGCTTTTTAAACATATAGTCGATGGAAATACACTGTAGTTTAATTTTTAGTAAAAGAAGTAATGAAGAATTTGTCTGCAAAATTACATAAATTGTATTATATAATCCTATATATGGCTCTTTAAAATAACACATACATTTGTGATACAAAATAAGAGTTTGCTGAAGCCCTTGTAGATTGTAGGGAGCTAAAAGGCAGCGTAATTAGCTTTTGACTAAAATCCAGCACTGATAACATAATATCTACTGGCTAAACCACAACGATCCTCCTCTCCTGAGCCTGCTACCAACAGTTTAAGAATCACTGTTGTAACTAACGCCTGCAACTTAATAGCGTCCCTCGCGACAGTTGTATGCCCATTTTATTTGACACGCGCGTCATAAGAGATAGCTACACACCCAATCCATCATCAGAGACCCGTGTTGTGTGACGTTGACAACACGGGCCGGTATCTACAGTACCAACAGCTGCTCCTTATAAGCAGACAGGAGCGCCCCCATAAGGAAGTCATGGTGGGTGGGGAGCTCCCAGCACCGTAAGCCTTTTCTATGAACCAGGAGAGGGCTAAAGGGGCATCAGTCGCGTTTAAGTGAGTAAACATAATACTAACAGTAAATAATTATAGTAATAATAATTATTAAATGCTGCATGGAAAATAATTACAATAATATATTTAACACAATATGATATAAATTTAAAAAAAAAAATAAATAAATAAAAAACACTCTGACATGACGTTAGTTGTAAATCGTGGTTGCAACATGACTACATACGGATCGTTACATTACTGCTCCGTGGAAATCACAAAAAAAAACAGTCTTTACTGTCCCATTTTGAGACTTGTGAAAAACGTGTCAACCCAGCAAATTCTTTAAACTTGCAAAAGCAAAGTAACAAAATGCTAAGGCATACGTAAGATGTACCAACATTAAGATCCCACGCTTAATGTTAACTCACAGTTGGCGCATATAATCAGTCACGAAAACCGGCAAAGCCGTACATACCATTCTGAACGTAATCGGCCACCCGTGGGCACAACATAAAATAATCATCCCCCAGGAAATTCACAGATGAAAACCCCAAAGACTAAATTCGGTAGCTGGACGACGGAACGTTTGGACTCCCGGCTCAGAAAAGGGGAATTAGCTTCAGCAAAAACTTTTCGGAGCGTCGGCAGTCAGTCGGTTTTCAGCCATATCGGCCGGAACTTGGAAAGAGAACTTTGTACATGGTTGAATAAGGCTAGGGTGGGGGGGGGAAGGGGGGGGGAAGGGGGGGGGTAATGACTGCACTTAGCCTCTTTGCAGGTTTCTAGAAGAAAGACCTTAGTCACCTAAATATAAACGGTGAGGGGGTGGGAGGGGGCACGATAAGGGCCTAAAAGTAGGGCGGGAGGGAGGGGTGCCTAAGGTACCTTAACACAGTGTCACACCCCAAACACGCAACTCAGTAGCTGGGCGACGAACGTTTGGACTCCAGCTCCAAAAAAGGGGACTTGGCTTCAGCAAAAAGTTTTCAGAGCGTCGGCTGTCAGTTGGCTATCAGACATATCGGCCGGAACTTAGAAAGAGAACTTTTGTACATGGTTGGACGGGGCATGGGTGGGGGTGGGGGGGGGGCAAAGATGGCACTTAGCCTCTTTGCAGTTTTATAGAAGTAAGTCCTTAGTCACCTAAATATTATTGGGGTAAGAGGGGGGGGGGCGATTAGAGCCTAAAAGTGTGACAGGAGGGAGGGTTGCTCAAGGTGCCCTAACTCTTATGTTGCGGCGCCCTTGACTACAGATATTGCGTGTGCTTATTAACAATTCATTTGTGGAGTCTGCTTTCAAAGGCAGCTGTGAAGGGGAGGCTCTGAAACTTAGCCTAGTCCACTAGCGATAATGTGAGGCATCGAAAACGCGTCTTATTGTCTCTATTTTTGCTTGTGGTGCGCGCTTGTTAAAAAAAAAAAGAGAGAGTTGCTTTCAAATCAATTAACGACTCGCTGCAGCCCACGGCCTGCTTTGAAACCGGACGGTTCCCGGGTTTCACTCAGTCTCTAGGTAATGGGTACCAGAGTTTACACACAGGGGTAAATGGAGGAACGTCACTGTAGCTACAGAGTTGCGTGCAGACGGCGACACAGGCGTAGTTTTTTTTATCAGCTGTCCGTACTGGTGGCAGAGCACTTATGGTTTATAACCGTGTGCAATGACGCTGGTTCAAATTCCACGACTTTACTTCGTTGACTGCGTTTATAACAAACAGGCAACTGTTTATTTCTGGTCAGCTGTTGGGGTTATATAGTCAAGTAAAAGACTTGTCCATGCCTTCAGGCGTACTGGGCATATAGGGCTAGACCTATATCTTATAGACCAATCGGCACTTGGTGGGTGATGGGGTCAGCATCAAGCCAGCCACCTTTACTTCCCAGGACTGTACCTTGTACCCACTCAAGGCTGGGTCGACCTGGAAAACAATGTCATTTTTGAAAAAAGGCCGGCCCTCGTCAGGACCCGAAGCCATGTCCTTCCGATATACAGGCGGGCGTCTAGCCGTTAGACCATGACGGCTCCAGTTAAAGTTATATAACCCGGTGAAATTAAGAATACATGGATGAACTCATTTTCTTGCACAAGACTTTGACAATCGCCGGTTTTCCGATACAAGGATTTCAGCGGTTACAATCGACTCCGGGGTCACTACACGGTGTGCCTGACCCGGTCGTCAACAGTCTATCACAGATTTCACGACATTGGCACTCTTCCGAAGCGACAAACACCCGATGACACTATGTGCCAACATGCTTGGAGAGGTCCCAGAAACCGCGTTCAGCCTTTAGGCCATATTTATGGCCTGGCTATATTTGCGGTCCCTGGCAAGAGCCAGTGTGCGGCTTCAAATAAAGAAAATGTCATCCTAAAAAGGACTGCAAATAGAGATTTTAGCTTGTGATTTAATTGACTTGATTTGATGCAAGAACCGACATCACAGCACTCGGGGCATTCCCATAAGCGCTCCGTCCCCATCTTCAGCAGCCAGCGAAGAGTTCCGATAATAATGGTGCCAGTAGCTTTCTGATTAAACGTCCGTCTTGCCTTTCCTCTGAGCCTCGAGCTTCTGCCAGAACCTCTCGTCACCCCCAACTGCATCAATCTCACCAGACTATGGTGATCCATCTGCTCCTCCGAATTGTACACGCTTTCCCACAAGGCATTAACCACATCTGCCCTATCATGTATCAGTATTCCACCAAGTTGTGCAGAGCCAGCCAGTCTGTCCGCCTGTTCATTTCCCAACACACCGGCGTAACCCGGTGAAAAAATCAAGACAATACTCCTCACTCGTGTCATCTGCAGCGAAGCATGCCACTCTGCACGAAGCATACCTGTTCTGATTTTTAGCTTATGAATTTACATTTAATCGCGTCACCCATGAACACACTGATAACAGAACGCTGTTTCTATTTAGCGCATGTCAAAAGTGGTGTGGCCATCTTTAAACTGTCATTATGACGTCACCGTAGTCGTCTGTAACGTAATATCACGTGCCTAATACTCTGATATCCTTAACAAAAATATGGACAGCTTACAAGACAATACCATGGTTACTGTAATTTCTAAAACACTTCTAATTATTTCTTTTAAAGCCCCCTTCCTCTCTCTGTGTGTGTGTGTGTGTATGTGTGTGCGCGCGTGTGTGTAAAGAGAGCGAGAAACCCCAGGACCAATCTTACCTTCAGCCAATTGTTACGACATGCTTGGTAGCGTGCAGTGTTTCTATTCTTTGCTAACACACACGGCCCTGGTAGCACACGTTCCACTTACCTCCAGGAAATAGAGAGCTCTTGTGGTCCAGGTGGCACACTGATCCTGGAAAGTCACCAGTCTCCTTCATAGACCCACAGAAATCAGCAAAGTCGTCATCATCGTCGTCGCCATCAGCGTTGTGGGACCTGGCGAAATTCTGCAACAGAGATCTCGACGTTTGCTTCTCCGCATCAAAGAAATTCATGTCCTCGTCCTCGTCTATTTGATCATCATCGATATCATCGTCATCCCCACCATCATTGCTAGTTGTGTCCTGACTAAGGTACTGCCTTAACTCCTGGGAGATTCGAGATGGGTGGGGAAGTATGGTGGTTTGTTTGGAGAACTCATTCAGATTATCCACTGAACAAAATGAGTACAAATCGTCTCCATTTTCCAGACCTTCTTGTCCATTGGGTCCAAAACTGGTATCTGGTTTCTTTTCTTCAGGTTTGGCTCTGTAAGATTCTTTGCGGTCCATTCTTTCAAAGTGTTTACTTGTGTCGAGCGATGGGCAGACGATGTCTGTATCATCAGTGACAACCGCTGTAGAGTACTCACTGTAGTTTGATGGAGACAATGATAAAATCCCCTTTGTACTACTGTGAAAACCTGAATCTCGACTACCAGCGTCGTCTACTTGTTCCGGCAGCTGGTTTAGGATATACTGAGCTACATGCTTGTTAGAGTCTTTTATCTCTTGAAGGATTTCCTTGCCAGCTTCAGAACAGCTGCTCCAAGCAATACCTGATGCAAATTTACTGTTGTCATTTGCAGATTTACCAATTTCTTGTGCAATTTTCAGAGACTGCACTCGCTGCTTCTCCATTGGTGACAATAAAATTTCCTCCGCTGCTTTGCTTCTGTGTGAATTCTTCAGCCAGCTAGGTTGATTTTTGCATGTGACTTCACTCTCCACTGTTCTCTTCTTGGCAATATCACATGCCGTCTGAGCCTGTTGTTTGATGACGTTCTGTGACACGTGCTTGCTTCTCCTTTCTAATCCACTGATCAGCTTAACTTGACAGGTGTCATCGCTATCAGTTTTGCCAGATTCTTTAAAATCTAAACAGGAATCTCTGCTGCTATTGTTATTCATGTTACCAGACACAACACTCTCTGGTCTGACTAACAACTGGTGCACCTGTCCACTCATAATTTGATCACAACAAACCTCTTTAGAATATGGACTGATACTATTTAGCGTGATATCCACACACGCATTTCCCAAGGTGGACCAGAAATTGTGTTGGTAAATATTACACCCATTCTTTAAAAATAATTTTTTTGAATGGAACAGCGTGGACAAATCACCAGTTGGTTTGCTTCGGTCTTCAAAGTAAGGAAGTTTGCCAAAGTATTCAACACAGCTAGCTGATTTCGCAGCATCAGTTAAACTAGTTTCCCTTTGCAGTTGCATCTGCGTGGATTCCAAGGCAGCCAGTCTTTGCTCCAGTGCAACAAAAGTGCTCAAGTTGAAATTTGTTTCAGATGCATTCTGTTTCAAATTACCCAAACGTTGAGTTTCAGCTTCAACATTCTTGTCATCTTTGCGAGCCTCTGGTTTTTCCGAACTATTTGACGACACTAAAGGTATGTTTCTGGCCAGATTTGACCATGCATGTTTATAAATTAAACATTTAGCCACATTTTTGGTACCATAAGTTCTAGCATTTGAAAAATGTCCGACTCTACCAATCATTTTCAATACTGAGTGAGCTTTCAGTTCACTTCTTATCTTTGATGGAATAGATCTTACTTTGGATATCATTCTTGATGCCAATATTCTGACTTTACCTCTCATGATTGTATGCCGGTTTGTGGCTAAACATCTCCTCTTTAATGCCAGCGTTTTACGCAGCCCTCTCATTCTAGACGAGATCCTTTGTTTTCTTGATGTGCTAATGTTGTCCAATGCTCTCGTTAATTTTCTTGGCTCGCAGATCATTTCTGATGTAAAACCAGACGACATCCGCAGTTGGTTAGAAGCTAACGTACGATCAAGACAATGTGTAGGTAGAACCGTTAAATCTTGTCTTGAGAGACAGTACAGGCGCGGTGTCCCATTTGAAACAGATTCAGTGAATGACTTCTTCATGCTGTTATCACCTTTGGCTAAACGCTTAGCATTACTTCTATACCAATGCAAGGCATTATTTTCCACCTCGCAGTTCTCATCTAGGTCTTTGTTTCCACAACCACTATGTGTATAAAGTTCCCCAACCTCCTCACAGGTTCCCAAATTCAGATCACAGACTGTTGTTGCTGACACTCGCTCTTGGGCTGGGCAAGATATTGCTCTCAACATCGTGCTAGCTGTATAGTTCTTCGGGCTTGGCAAGCACTGTGGCTTGAACTTAAAGCAGTTAGTTGAACTGGCAACTGCAGCTAGAGAAGAAAGAGAACGTGCTTTATGCCAAGCTAAAATACTGTGGTCTTTAATGGTTTTGTAATCAATTCCAGCTTGTTGAATAAGGTCTACTTTTATCGGAAACGTTTTCCAACAGCATGACATGTTCTCTTCCCCGCTGCACCACTGTGACAACATAGAAGAATCCTCCTCATATTGTTTCTCATTGTGTGGTTTTGACTGTGCAGTTATTATTTTGATTGTTATATTTTCCAACAGCAATTTTTGAACTACATCCATGACAAAGTTGTAAAAAACATCTACTCTGAAAATATTCATCATTACTGATTCTATACTCTGATTTCTTCGGGTGATTCTCCTGATATACACCAGGAACTCTTGGCTCTGCTTTGTTTTACTGATAGGTTGATCCCTAAAGCATTCAGCTGTGTTACTTGACTGAGCGTGGTTCCTGCCGTAAGACTGGACTTTGCTATTTTGGATTGGTGTTTCTCTAAAACTGTGGTCAAACACACATAGTTTAGTGTTGATGAATGTATTTTGGGTTCTGATCATGTATATATCTATCTCACTGTTACCTGTCTCCGCTAAACCCTTGCTTCGCAATACCTGGTTACCGCCGATGCTATTGTGCTCCCTGTCTTCGATGACGTTTTCTGATAAAGGCATACTATTGCTTATATCTAGATTATCATCGTCTTCTAAGCGAACACCCTCCACTTGCCAGCTGTCGTCACTTTCATCGCTGGCTTTTTCATCACATATGGTATCTTCCACATTGAAAACAGACTTGCGGTGGGGCTTGCGGGTCTTCAACCGCCATGGGTGTTGTGGACAGTGGCTGTTGGTGATACAAAGGACCCCAGTAAAACATGCAGTCAGACATTGAATATTTACACAATGAAACAACATAAAATAAAACCGTATAGAGACTGTAACACTAAATGGTTTGTAGAGATGTTGAACTATACTTGGTGCTACCCCAGGACCACGGCTGATACTTATTCTTCTGCTTTCTATCCCCCAGTAGAACGTAGGCTCTCAACCATCTTACGCCAAGTCGTTCTATTCTTCGTGTGTGTGTGTGTGTGTGTGTGTGTGTGTGTGTGTGTGTGTGGGCGGGGGGTCCTGCCTTTGTTTTATACCACCGTGGGTTCCACTGCAAAGGTATTTTAGTTATTTGTTCTTAGGTTTTCTCAACGGTTGTCCTATTCGACGCCAGTCTTTTCCTCACCTCCTCGTCCCTGGAACTTGTTTAGTTCTCTCCAAAAGCTCAACATCAGTCACCATGTAATTCCTTCTATTATGTGCAAGCCGCATTTAATAAATGTTTATTTTTTTTTTTTAGTAATTAATTTTAGTTGTTCTACACGTTTCCGTTCCACACTGAGGTACTGATGTGACATGATTACAAATTTTAAGTTTAGTATTTGTTTTTTTTTGTTGTTGTTGACCTCTTCAAATTTCCTAGCGCTACGAAAACTCCTCGTGCTTTTTGACGGCCCATACGGATCAATCCTATCTACACCTCTCAGCTGTCCTTCTGGAGACAGCTTCTTAACCGAAAACCTGACCAACGCAGGATCGACGTTTCCGTCGAAGTCGTAGTGTATCTGCTAGAGAGGTGACGAAACAATAGTCTGCATAAAAAAAAAAAAAAAACCCCAGATTTGTGTAAACCGATGTTCACGCAACACTCAGTTACCGGAACAAAACCAAAGCCCAGAAGTTGATAAATAGCTAGGTTTTTCTGCTAGGGTTTACAGTCGGTGACACACACGAGGGTGTAGCGGTTAGAACGCTCATATAAGTAAGTAAGTAAGTAAAGTAAAGGACCCTTTTCCACGCCTTTAGGTGTATTGGGCATATAGGGCATATAGGGCTAGACCTTTATTTTATAGATCAACGGCACAAGATGGGTGATGTGGTCAGCATCACGCCGGCCGCCTTTACTTCCCGGGACTCCACGGCGACTTCCAGAACCCTCATATGCGGGCCTGCAAATTAGGGTTCAAATCGGTATTGAAACAGATTATTTTCACAATTGAGCTTGGCTACCAGGTAGATCCAGCCTCAAATAGGTGCCAGGTGAAATCAAGAGCAGATAAAACTGTAAAACTATAGGTCTATCTTCATTCGACCACTGCCGTGAAAAGTGTCCCTCATCTGATGTTTACAGGAAACGTAACAATCCGTAATACTACCAGCTACGAGTGCAAATTTTACTATCACTCCCTGGGTAATTTTTACGATCTCTCTCTCCACCCCCCCCCCACCACCAACAACAACAACCACGTATTAATGTTCTCTTTACGAGTAAATATTTATACATTTTTATTATTTTATATAAATTATTAAATTTACGTGTCATTAGGCGCATTTTAATAATAATATAAACAACAATTATTTATGTTATGATTGTGCACTCAAACAAGGCTGTGTCCCTTGAAGTTCTCCCATCTAGAAAATTTCAAGTTAAGTTCAGCGCCCCGTGGAACTGCAGTAGTGTAGCGGCTAGATGCTCCGCGTGCGGCCTGAAAGTGGTGGGTTCGAATCTGCATCGGGTCATATTTATTTATTATTAAAAAAAAATAACCCGGGCTTCCCAGTCGACAGTCTAAAAGTAGTACAGGAGAAGTAAAGGCGGTCGGCGTACTGTTGACCACATGACCAACTGCAGGCCAACTGATATAAACAGATAAGTCTTGCATCAGTCAGATGCCCGATGCTGGACGGGTACTTTACTTAGTGAGCACCCCCCCCCCCCCCAACCCAATGATTTCCCTGTGTCGGCAGCCGTGAAAGATCAAACAAGTGCTTACCTATAACAAATACTGGATGTACCGCTAGTCCTTAACTTTACTTTCTAAGCCCCCCCCCCCTTGCTCCCCTACCCCATTATTTCCTTGTGTCAGCGCCCCTGACTCCACAAACATCTGCTTACCTACGGCAGATGCCCATCAGCCAGGTATCTATAGACTTGAAAATGTACTGCTCGCTGGTGAAGCTCTTCGGGGAGAACTGGTAGGAGTCAAAGACCTGCACCTTGCCATTGTTCCATCGCGAGCCGATGGTCTTGTCTCCTTCCCCCAGCCAGATCTCCACATGCACCATGTTGTGCAGCTGCCTCTTGTCTGCAGGGATAGGCAAAAACATGTACTGTGTTTCCCTGAAACTTGGCAATGAGTGGCCAGAAAAGATCACAAATACTGAGCTATTGGGAAAAAAAGGTGTTGCAACAGTTTTCTCAACGCTCAGTCTCCGAAGTCTCAGGTGGTGGGGTCACACCTGGAGAATGCAGGAAGTTAGAGGCCATAAGGACATCCTCTGTGTTGAATTACAGATTGGTAAAACTGTCGAGGCGGGCCTTTAATACGATTTAAAGATGTGTACGCGGGACATAAAAGATACATGTATTGAGGTAGATGTGACAATACGCTCGGTGACTCCAGAATGTTTTTCCTCAACCTACTTTTATTTGTGTGTATTTTGAAGTATACAGACAAATAGGGATTTGGATACATCCTTAATCTAAATAGGATGACCACATAACACCTTTAATTCTCCTGGACCGTTGGTCATATCAAACACTAAAACTTTTTCCCAGATGTTAAGTGTTAAGGTACAGAGATAAGACTGACCAAGCAGACTTACTGACTGGAGATTTGCACACCATTTGTTGGTGTCAGATAGTTATTCCCCCTGCCAGATCTTCAGGAACAGATAACAATGGCTAATTGCCATTATCTCCCCCTGAGGTTACCTAAACTGGAGTGCCGGTCAGATCGTCAATATTGACACAGTGAGCGGAAAGTGTTGGCAGAAGAATTGACAAAGTCGGATTTTATTGTGATGACAGGTGAAGTAGACTGGAGGTGTGACTTGTCTTATTTGCTCTGGTCAGCTTAATTGAACCAGGAGATCCTAGCGTGGGAATTCAAACAATAATTGTACAGTCCCTGACTGACAGCGAATAAACTTACCCACAAGGGAGGAGCTGTGATATCCGTGAATGAGAATGATTTTAGGCGTAATGTAGGAGGAGCTTGATAAAAGTTATAAAGGGCTGAACTTAAGGTCTGGTAAATGAGATCCTGTCTAGCACATGCCATCTGTTGGGCTTAACCTAAGCTTGAGACAGAACTTTTGGCATCGTGGTTTCATTTTTCCAGGTAAGATCGAAATTAGGTTCAAATCTATATTTTATGATAGAGATCTAACTGTCTTTTTACTCAAGTGTGTGTCTTCATCACTTTGTAGTACTCCTAGGCGGACATTTTTTCATTCTCGTAGGGCACTGTCACATTGCTTTATTTCCTATTTGATAGTGTCATGAATGTTTTTCGTGTACATGTGTTTCAATGTTGTAAAACCTAAATGTTGTTGTTGCCATTGAAATTTAATGAACTATCATGTTTTTGAAATCACAAGCGTGAAGATAACTTTGGCAATCGTTTCACGTGTGGTTAATGTGAATCTGTATTACATACAGCTAACACACTGAAATGTGTTTAACTCTCGGGAGGCTAATGCGGAGATTGATCCCGGAGAGAAAATCCTTGAGATTTGGTATTTCATTCGCCTCAGAAATATTGTTAGCTTTCTGGGGGCGTCGATTGTTCCAAGCATAGATTCCAGAACTGGTTCTGTCTGACTGATTGTCATTTTGAGTCTGTACGAGAGATGGCACCTGACGTAGAAGACTTGACTATCATTACAGGACGTGTAGAGGAAGGCAGAAGATGTAACAGTTGGAATGTGAGACATAAGCCCTTCCAAATTGGACAGGAGTGAATGTGAGCATGAGGGAGAGATGAAATGTTTTATTTACATAAACATGCTTGATGTTAGTATATAATATACATGCTTAGTGTACATCTAGAGCAGATACTACAAATATGCGCTTGTTTCTTCATTCTCCAGTTCCCACATTGCGCAGGGACTAGTAGGCATCCATTATTTGCCGACCGTCGAGTGTAACGACCTGCAGAAAGCAGTGAGGACGACAAACTGGAAAAGATAGGCAGGGTCTCAAGCCGAAAACTGTCCTGACGGTGAATTCTCCTACTAGGAGTTAAGTATATGTACAAACTGTCATCAATCACACTCCCTCAACTCTACTAGCCTAAACAAGTTCATTTTATTTTAATTTCGATTTATTTAAATAAATCATGTGTGATGAGTTTCATGATAGTTGAGTAAATTGTGTACTTAGGTTCAAGTGTCTTTGTGCATATTAGTTTACTTCAGCTAACAAATATTTAAATCACTTGATGGGGGCTTTTAAGTAATGCCAGGAGAGGAGACCAGTCGCAGGGGTTAATTGAGCACCTGGATTATATCACAGTGGGTTTATCCAGATATCTATCTATCCCTTCTCCTACTCCTGTGGATACAAGTACAGCAACTTTCATTTTATGGAACGAGCCACTCGCTGTTTTCTTGGCTATCCAGGACTGTCTAGGATCAACATAGATTAGATAATAGTCCAGTTTCTCACGTGGGTGGGCATTGTTAAGGTTCAAACCCACACCCTCACTATTTCAGTGTATTTACCCACGTGGGCGCGCGACAATTGGGTATCTCGTCTCGGGGTTTATAACATCACGTAACAATTGTGTCGCTCTCTAGAATTAAAACCTGACACAAGTGGCGTCCCGCCAGCGATCAAACCCGACAGACCCTAGACTAACGAATAAAAAGTTTAATTTCATAGATTTCATTTTAACTCTTCATCCAGTTCTTAGACTAAAATCATATTTAGTAATTGGTAACTGGGAAGATTAGAATTATAATAACTGTAAAAGTATTTAATTGATGAAATCATATGAGTTAACTGTCTATCATTGAACATTTCATGAACATTGATTGTTTAATCTATAGTGCTTAGTTAGAGTTGATGAATTGATGATTTTTTTTGCTTGCATATTTCATTTGATATAGATTGTAGAACATATTACATGCTGACATCATATCATTGAGATTAATAATTAGTGACTGAGTGTAACATCGCTTTGATCATTTATAGGTTTATCCTTTTGCTGCTATAGTATTCTATAGGCTGTTAATCTGGTAGGCTGCTTTGCATCATATACATCTTTGTGCGGCTGTCATAGTCTCCTCTGGTGCCAAGTTCACTGTACTTTGCTCTGACATATCCTTCTTATCCTGACTCGAGGGAGTATCATATTTATTTCTGGATAGACCTGATAGATATAGAATGGACTTACGTACCGAGTACCAAAAAGATGTAAGGAAATTCGGGATAGTTGAGGGTCGAGTAGGAGCACAGTTAGAAACATATATTAAATGCCAGATGGATACTTTTGATTATATGGTTGCCCGTAATGCTGCAGAGAAAAGGCGCCAGTTGGAGATAGAAGAATATAATAGGCAGGAACAGCTTAGGAAAGAAGAGTATGAAAGAGAGGAACAGCTAAGGAAAGTAGAGTATGAAAGAGATATACAGCTTATAAGAGAAGAATTAGAAAGAGAGATAGAGTGTATTCAGGAAGGATTTGCTGAAAGGATGCGGCGTAAGAGTGAAGAAATTCATCGAAAACTGCTACTTGAGAGGGCAGAAAAAGATAAAACAGCAAGCAGAAAACATTAGCGTTGAGGAAACTGCGAGTATATGCGAGGAAAAACCATTACCTCAGGCTGAAACTCAAGCAGATATGGTGGGGGCCCACTATCTAACCACTGTGGTGTGCACTCCTTGGCCAAACTCAACAGCTAAGGAAGAAAACATAAAAACCGGAGGACAGTATCTCACACCTCTTATTCCTACAGAGAAAAGAGGCAACAAGGAGAACTCTTCTTTAGGGATAACCAGATCTACATTGCCGGACCCCTTAACTTCCATTCTTAAGCCTAAAAGGAAAAGATGGAACAAGAAGCAGAAATCTTCTAAAGGGACCAGATCTACATTGCTGGAACCCCTTACTCCCATTATCTCAGATGAGATAAATGAGAGCGAACCTGACAGTAGTGACAAGCGTGATAACGGTTGTAACCGTAGACATAGCGGTTCGACTGTCACACCAGACATTAATGAGGACGAGGGCAAAGACTTACCCAACTCCCATATCCTCTTTGGTCCCTTCAAACAAGAAGAGGAATTAAAGCAGACTGATGTAGGGAATAACGCTGAACCGGTGTCCCCTATTTCCTTGGATGCGGCCGCATGCCTAATGGAATGTGTTAGTTCTGACTTTGCACCCGAAGGAGTTGACTGCGATGGCGGCAACACACCTCCTGATTTGCTTTCACTGGACTTGGCATATGAAAGCCAGACCAAGGTGAAAATAGCAGATGAGGAGGAGAGTTCTCTGGACGTCTTGACGATTTTAGAGACTCGACATAAACAGGACAATTCTGCTAGGCCTGTGCACGTCGATAATGGACAGACAGAAGTGTTTGCCATTATCGAAGAAGAAAATACTTTTCGTGAGCAGGGAGACAACTTGTCTCTGCTGCCCTGTACAGCTGGGGCGACAGGGATACTTCTGATGAAGGACCCTGAAGCAGAACAAGCCATGAATAGTAGGGAACCCCAACATTCTGGTCTTGTAGTACTCTTTGCTTCGAATGAAGTGACAGGGGTATCTCAGCTGGTGGTGGAAACTTCATTGCGAAGAAATCCCACATTACAGTCGACAGGAAACCCTGAGTTTTCTTATGATTCGACTGAACTCCCTGACTTGATTTCGTGCTCTGACTCTGGACTGATCTTTGTTAAAGACAATTCCACCCTGACAATTTGGCAAGGTAAAGACAGAATGCACCGAAGAGGAAACAAATGGACACTCTTCAAAGAAACGGTTAGTGGTAAGTGGCACTCACTTCATGGGATCATGATGAGTGAAGTAATCCCTCGTTTTAAGAGGAGATTTGTAACAGATTTTTCAAAGATCTGTAGACTGAGGAGAAGAGGATCCAACCTGACTGCAACTAATCCTTTTAGTAGAACACTTCAGGCTCTCCCTAGGCAGATAGGGCGCGGCGAAGTGAGGAAACGCACAGAGGTTGTCAGTCAACGGCGCAGAGGAGTCCCGTTGACAAAGCATGGATCTTTTATTTTCCGATGGAAGGAGGAACCTCCGGACAAAGGGACATTACCGAGCGACTGCTT